CGTACTATGAGTACTAATACATGACAATCCTGTGACAAACACTACAAAATAACAATCAGGTTGTTAAAATTTATGCGGCTCCCATTTCGTAAAAAGTAAAATTAATTTCCAGTCACATTCTAATGTGAAGAAGGGAACAAAGAGACAGTGACAAACAAGTGAAGCTAACTTTAGAACATCACAACTTATTTCAAAGTCTGTAAAACGGTACAGAAAATTTGTGACTCAAGTGGGTGATTGTGTCGGAGTTTCGTTCTCTGAGCTGGATGGTTAGGTGGTGATGCTTTTGTTGCCCTTCTGAGCAACAACTTCAACCAAAAGGAAACGTTTGGACCTCTGTACAAATGACTCGTAGCCTGTCTTTTTGGTCTCAATCTTGATTAGCTGTAATTGATCTATATCATGATGCCGTCTAACTCCACATCTTGATTGTATCCCCCTACTCATGTGATTCTTGGTCCTGAGCTTGTCTATGATTTTTCCCATTGGTTGTAAATTAGGTGAAGCTTGATGTGTTTGTAGATCGCCAAGTGAAAAATGTATAAAAATCCTCGGTTGTTTGTGCTTACTCTAGCCAAAATTTCGAACAATTTTCCAGTCGAATGTTCATAGTTGCCTACATTTATGGATATAAGAAAAAATATATCATGGCGTTCGACTGCTGACTGATAGTCCCGTAGGCGAAGTTGAGGGAGTTTGTTCACTTTTTCCTATGTAGTGTTTTATGCAATTTAGATAGTTTATTTTGTAAATGGTTTTCGGTCATTTTTCTTTTGTCATTTTGTCCTTTGGCTTACATAGGTTGGTAGTTTATGTCGATACTTCTATATAAAACTACATGGATAGCCGTTCGCTCAAAAGATATTTTTCCTCATACTTTTTTGTACTTTTTATGAGTGACATTGTATACTCAATGGCGAATACAGTCAAGATACTGAAGGAGAAAGTGAAAGATCAAAGGTCTTTTCTCCCTTTTTATAACCTTATTCGCAGTTAAAAATCCATAGCGCCTCTGGGGGACATGCACCCTATGAAAACGCGCGTCTACATCACAGCTTGCATCAAGCATGTTCCAGTTGACCTTTTCCAACAAATTCACTAATGATCTAAGCAAACAACCCAAGAAACCTACTATGCACCTTCCTTATTCCCACTCTCTTATTGAAAATATGGCTGTATCAAACTGTTCCTGTCAGTGACATGGTGTAAATGTGCTATCAGAAACTGACTCTTGTACCTAATTTATCTACGATAACTTTTGCAGTAAATGTGTAAGCATTTGTGACAATTTGATATAGCCTGTAAAATGGCATGCTTGTTGTAACGTATTGTTACTTGAGAATAAATGTTATTATTATTCACCAGTCAAAAACATGCTGCGAGTGTTACGTTGAGGAGTTAGAAGACTTTAACATAAGTTTTGGGATCACATTGTTCATATGAACAATTAAAGTTCCACAACCAAAACATTCATCTCATAGAAAGAAACTCCACCATACGTCTTCAAAACAGTAATGTTTATTTTTGTTCGTACCTTATTACATAAGTATTAAGCTACACTAAATACCTAGTTTGGACATTTTCCCATATACCAAATTCTTTGTGTCTTGTAGTCTAGTAGAGCATGCACTTATTTATTTGTCTTTACTCGTTTACAGAATGAGGAATCAATTGAGTAGTGTCCATATCAGATTATCTTTTCTCTCTCGTTCGCTAGCTTAGCCCTTTGATAGAATAATTTTCTTCCATCTATCCAGTTAGTTCTAGTCACAGTCAAATTCATGCACTTATAGTCTCATTATGAACTCGATTGCCTATTACGTTCAGGCATTTGATCGAGATTTGGACACAATTATAACCTGCGTATTAGTGCGCGGTCTGTTCATGGCAGAAACAGTATTCAAAGATAAAATACTGATTTCCAGTCCAGATTTGATTATAAAATTTTCGTTGGCCTCATTTATTGTAATAAAAGTCAGGTTGGAAGCTCCCTATTTAGATGGTTAATTGAAAGACTCTTCCAGTCTTATGAATAGTTCAATTATTCCCGATACCTTTTTAATTTAAATTTTTGAATATCTTAGACTGCATTATCAAGATCAGCATTATTTGGTCTATTTTGTACAATAATATTTCTCTCGCAAGGAACATTTTCTTAGGTTTCTTTGTAGTGTTTCTGACGAGATCGCACTCTGAATGTGGTATATGAAGCAGCATCCTTACGTTTCCTTCGTATTTTATAAATTGGTCGGTCGGACATCTTCTAAAACGAAACTGCAAGCCTGTGTTACTTGAAGGAGTTTCAGATGGTTTTGATGTCTTTTTACTGAGTAAACCACATAACCGTTTCAGGCTAAATCTGAGGAAGTTTGAAATTTTCCTGTAAATCTTACAAGGGAAAATGTAGTTTTAGTCCTTCAAATTAAGTTCAGACTGATCAATAGGTTATGTTTTTAGTAAGAAATCGTCAAAATACTTGATCGCTTCCACAAGTTTTTAGATACGCTGATTTAGGAGTCCTATGAAAGTCAGGATTCTAGCGGTTTTTGTTGATCGACTGGACATTCTTAGTGTATATGATACAGCTTCTGCATTAACTGACCAGATTACGAGACCTGGGATTTAGAAAACTTTCGTCCTTTTAGTCCTACTGATGGAGGTAGGTTCCACCTCAGTCGTATTTAGACCGATTATACTGAGCAACACATTAACACTAAAAAAAATGACCATCTTGAAAGTTAGGGTTGTGGATAAATTTCAGCAAATCCGCATTAGTATTAATCCTCTTCCATTGTGACTGACGTCTAACACGAAGTTTTCAACCTCACTGCATGTGTTTGTTTTCTTTTCGACAAACAGACTGCTTGTTTCTGCGCATGTTGACAATTGATTTCGCGAAACCACAAGGAAGATGATGATATTGCTCAGCATATTAATATTCGTGCTATATGCCAAACGTCAACTTGTGATTTGAATTACTGAGTTTGTGGTAAGCGGGTCGCATACACTTGTTCTTGATAACCACACTGTGGTCATGAGTTAATAAATAAGTTGGACAGAGAGTTTATAATCATGAAAAAGAGTGAAACGTCCAAAGCCATACAAAAAAATTTTCAGTTTAAACACTTAAAATATGCCTCTCATCGCGAAAAACCGTATAAAACGAACAGTAAGAAGAAAAAACAACAAACTCCTAATTCAAATGCTACTCAGGAAAGATGGTACACCTAATGTCAAGCTTGAGACAGACAAACTGGATTTAAAATGGAAATTCATTGAGTAGGGAAACAAAGATTATGCATGATAGTATTATAGAAATTTTTGCTCCTTCCTTTTGTGAAGTACGGTGTGTCGATCTATTTGCAATTCACGAACCCAAATCAATGACAAAACAAAATTCCAAAGTTAGGTACCAAAGTTTATTTTTAATTCACAAATAATCGACCAAAATGTTGTTCATCGAATTACAAATGGACGATCAATGTCGTTCTAACAACAATAGTTATAATAATTACAATTACCTTCAAATTTATAGGTTCCTGGAGCAAAAGCCTGCAAACGAACAAACCAAGAGAAACAGGAGTCCGAAAATGGCCGAAGATAATAATTCAAACAACTTCATAAGTTAAGTAAAACAAATATACCCTAAAAACACAATGAAATTAATGATATTTATATAAAGGTTTTGATCAGCCAAATGTCTTCATTTCTCCCGTAACAGCATGGATCATGAATGTTCACTTCTGATGAGTCCCATACCAGGAAGAAACGGCCGTCCACTGCTTCCAGATTTCTAAAGGTGGTCTGACAATGGTTAATTAATGAGTTCGGTGTGTAAAAAAGATACATAGATTGTTTGAAATATTCACATCACGCAAGGATAATATTTTTAGCGAGTGAAACCAGCGTGGAGTCGATTGTGCCAACTAATATGAGTATGATATGAGATTATGATACACAAACGGCCATGTGCAGCCTACCAGCCAGTCAGGAAACATCAATGGGTTTTAAAACTATCGATACCCAAAAGTAATAAATTACCAGTGAAAAAACAGCTTAAGTCTGAATCATAAACTTTCAAACGTGGAGTCATTCATTTCAGAGGATTGAGAAGATAAAGTTTCCCCATTATGGGTCGAGCAAGATTTATGAATTAGGGTTACCATTTCCAAAAGTTGAATGTTAGGTACTAGCAGTTAAGTCGTGGTTTCTGTTTCTATTCTCCAGTTAGGGTTGGTGGTCTCTTTATGAAATGACACCAACTGTGATGCATTGCTTTGCGATCGTTGAAAGACTGATAGCTGGGATTTCGAGTAAAAGTTAGAAAGAAAACACATTATCCGGCCCATTTAACTTTTTTAACAGTGAGTTAAATCACAACGAATAAAATGACTCATAATTTGCCTTAAAAGCGATTAGCTTTGGAAACAGCTTAGACTCCCTTTTCGGTTTCCTAATAAAATTCTTCTTTGACTATAAACATTTTAAAGACTATTGATTGCCTTCCTTAATAATAATATGTGAATTATCTACCACCGTGGTGGTTCATGTCACGCTAGAAGGTACGTTGTGTACTTGGTGAGGATGCAGAAAATCTTGAGAAGAAACGGAAGAATAGATGATACGACGGCTCAGCAACTCACGAAATGTACCCACATTTGAGCAGGAAAATGATGAATGACAACCAGTAATCAAATGAGAAGTAGACCCAGATAATCCGGGAGGCAAGAATAGGAGCGGATAGAAGGAAGATTGGAATCCGTTACAACAGCAGCAACAAATTTCGTACGGATTACACGAGCAATCATCTTAATAACAATTCGTTCACCTACGCTGTCAGTATTTCAAAGTTTTACCAACGATGGGCATTTGCCAGGAGTGGCTTCATATGCGTCAAAAAAAGCTATTGTTATTTAAAACTTATGTTACCACAAGATAATTGGATTCATTAACGTATTTGTTTTAATTTCCGTTGCCAAGACATTTCCCATAAACAATAACTAGGCCACTGTTTTGTAGTTCCGCGTCGTAACATTAATTGTGAGATGGGGGCGACCTCCAACTCAGAAATAATCTGATAGTTGATTGCCAAGCTTAGTTTTTTAACTTTAATGCTTTCAAGTTGTTCTATACTGGTAAAGCGAAGAATTTATACTCATTTCATCCTGGATTTTACGACAACAGCAATTCCAGTCATCCAATTAGGCTGCCCATTACAAGACCATAGAAATAGTTTCAGTTTGTAATATGAGATAATCTCACTAGGATTAACTGCCTACATTTACTCCCGCCTTCTTCCACATAGACTTTTCAACTCCGGACACAAGATGTCTTACCTTAGCTGTTGATCGACTGTTTCGCAACAACCTGAATATTAATGCAAAAGTTCTGAAACACTTGAAGTGCTATTGCTTGCCTTGTAAGGCATGTATTAGTATGTCTCCTTGTTTTCCATTTGTAAGACGCAGGCAAAATAGTAACAAGTACGTGATATTTTTTTATATCTCTGTATTGGACTTATATTTGATATTATTTCTAGTAATAGAAATAAAAAATAGGATTAAAGTTGAACGATATGCCTCACATTCTATTTATCTAGTAAATGACAAAGCTGTACCGTTGAGAGAAGAGAATGAATGTTCATTGTACTTCTTTATGCACTCATTTCAATGTTCTTGAAATTCATACCTTTCACAATGGTCCTTGTAACTCAGTAATTGCAGTTCTAAATTTTTGCATCTGTTTTTCAACAACATTTTTACTGACAAGATCCTGTTCCTCAATATTAAAAGCTAAAATAAATCATTTAGTTATAGCTCCTGACTTCGGTGGATTGCATAAACATAAGAATGAAACTTCATAGTTCGAGTACGGAAGCTCGCAGATTCGCTCTAGGTATATCATCATCACGGCTTATTTGTCGAGTAGCCTACATTTTCCGAATTTGGGTTTGATTAAGTTTTCTGCCTTTGTGTTAGTCTTCAGCAATTCTGTGTGAAACAAACTTAGTAAAATAAAAGAGTAGGTTTTGTCAAACCTTTGCTCAAAGCATTAGTTGAGTTGCTATTTTGAAATAATTAGACCACTACTAGGAGTCGAAAACCTGTTATTTGATATTTTGCAAATACTTTAGCACATTCAAGATCTAATCGTGTCATTATTTTCTTATGGGTATTCGATAGTCATCTGTCCAGTCTGATTTTTACCCTTAAACGCTAGTGCAGTAATATATTTGGAGCTCATAACGTGTTACCATCACATTCGTGCAACTTCGGAAACATGAATTCCAGAATGTTCTACAATAGCTGAATTACATGTTCCCTTAATTTCAAGAACTATTTACAGGGACCTTAGATATCAATACTTCAGTTATAGTGAAACTAACATTCTAACCAGGTATTGGTGGGAAATCTCATTTCAGATTCGTACGCTGACACTTAAAAGAATAGATCTTTAGTGGCTACAAATTAGGTTGCCGCAATAATCCAACACTGTTTCTCGACATCAAAGTGACCATCATTGTCTTTATTACTTCTCAAATTATTAAGTCATAACAAAACATGAGAATCGGTGAAATGGTCTCAATAAGTTATCCTTTATGTTTATAATAAGTGAAGAGGTTGCAATTCTGCTAAAAATCGTACTTTATCGGTTTTTGTCAGTTATTGGTGTTTCATCAACTTCTGTCGTTATTTGATCTCACCAATACGATAGCTGATATACATCCATTAGTATTATTTTGGCTTCGAGTTCACTTTAGGTTTTTATTTCATAGTGAGGATAAATGGCTATTGCTTCCCATGAGCCGGAATCTTTTCAATGGATAAATCGATTGTTAGTTTTTACTTACTTTGATGTCTCTTATGATTGAAGAGTGATGAAAAGTATGCATTAGCTGATAATCATTCACAGCCAGACTGCGTCATGTTGGTAGGTTTAGTCTGCTTGGTTGGAGTCGGCGTTTTTATTGCAATCAATAGTTCGAGGTCGAATAATATGGCTTACAACCCGTTAGGATGTCGTGCTTATACTGAATCTGCTTTTCCTCAGATCTTGAGTGTCAGAATTTTCTTGTACTTCCTTTGAATTTCAAGAATCTGTTTCTTTTTTAGTCAAATTATCCATGCTCAATTTTGTCGACTGCTGGAATTGTTAATACAGCTACCACTATGAGATGTGCTCTGAATATTTCATCTTGCAGTCGTTATGTGGCGTGGAAAATTTATCTGACGCAGATTTCACGCCAAACCCTAAGTTCTGTATAACTGATTGTGTGATGTATCAGGTCGTATGATAGTTTGATACTGTAGTAGTTCTGTGACTAAAAATTGGGAATATAATCTGTTTAGAATTTTTGTTTGAATAATAGTGTCTTCGCAATCGACACTCCCTAATGTAGTGTTGTAGTTTTGCACCTAACTGAACACTATTGAAGCCAAGTAGCAACCAACTGCACCTGAAAACCTTAACATAAGTTTCAAGATTTCATCAGAATTGGCGAGGAACAAATTGTTGTCTATAGAAGGCAATGATAGACTAGTATTTCTCTGATTTATCCTTATATGCACGGATGGTTGTATGCTTCGTTACATAAAAATACTAACACACTTAAGAAATGAATTATTGATTACATTTGATATATGGTGTGTCTATAGATTGTCCCCATGCTATTAAGATTTCCAAAACCTGTAACAATTGTAAGGTATAATAATGACTCCGGCTTGAATTAATTAGGTTATTAACACTGAACTCCTTCGATAGCGTAGATCAACTGTGCGAACAGCCTGACTTTTTGTCATTCATTTAGTTATTATTACATTTGGACCAATCTAATTCGAAATGATTGTTTATTTCTTAAACTTAACACGTCCTTAATAAGTCTCAGATGTTTATAATAATAACCTTATATTCTAAAGCCACCGCATCAATCATTGAAATCCTATCAAACTCTGAGTGTAACTTCATTGCAGAATTTACCCTCTTAAAAAATGTTTATCACTGGCAAATAAATTATTTCTCAAATTTCTAAGAATTTTAACATTTTGAAGCAAACTTTATTAGCTTAAAGTGATTGAGATCTTGCAATTCATGAGAATAATTGAATGACGTCGTATTCCTTGAACCAATTGGTTTAATTGGAAAGAGCATGTTGTTAATGTTTCAAACTACTAGACTCATTAGTTTATATATAAATGAAGAGTAAGCAGTAGATCAAAACTTATTCGCCATGTCTTACAAATGATTATCCTAATTTATTAAAATTTCTAAAAGGAATCACTCGTTATTCATTTCATTCTGTAAGAAATAAAACCCCTTGCAATATGGTTATTAGGTTTTCCAAAAGGCATAATTCATAATGTTCTAGATGTTACTTCTTAAAATATAGGTATGGAGTTTAATGTTTTCTTAAAGTAAATTCAGATTGGCTTACTTCTAGTACGGTTCGTGCGCAACCTGCTCTCTTCTGGTGCACAGTATCGTTTTATAGTTGTTTTTCACTACAGACTACTTTCTACACAAACATACTGTTATAACAGAAGAATAATTATATTAATCCGGTGGTTGCGATCGATCTACAAAGTCGATGCGGTCTTCGGATGAATCACAATTTCCTGTAACTAATGCGAAAAAGCTCTTAGTAAACTGACAGTGAAAGGTAGAATAAATCGTCTCATATAGCAAAAACGTTAAATCTATATATATGCCGAATAGACATTATTAAAATTAATGTAAAATATAGATTGTTAAATATAGGTTTTATAGTTTGTTCACGAACCAAATAAATTATAGCTTATTTAGTCCTTACAACAACAGAGATACATTCAAATTATTGTGAACGATTATGTCTACCATCTTCATGAACTACTTACTGAGTAACCATTGTCGATCTATACTAATTGTCAACATTAATCGTAGTTTGTTAGTCAAAGCATAACAACAGATAAATTAAGTTGTACGACATGCTTCAGGTTTTCCATGGTATTCTTATATTTATCGCTTACCTTTGATACTCCTAAACGAAATTTCATGGATTTTATTTCACTTTCATATTTTTGTGAAATAAAACAATATTTTATTTTAGTCACTGATACAGTTTACAATCGGAAAATTTCCTAAGCATAAACTTACTCTGGTAGACTTAATAAGCAAATTCAAAAATTTATCTTTCTGATGCAATTCACAAGAAGTATACTGTCGTTCACTTCATGGTTTCATTGTACGTTTTTACAAAGGAGTAACACCATTCCTATGTACTGACAGTGGATCTTAGTTGTCTTGAATTTTTATATAACGGCAACTTAACTGATTATTCCTAGAATTTACATTAAACGTATTATTAACATTTAGGTAGATAGAATCTACTGCTATCCATAGAATATGAAACACTATTTTGAGATTTATTAGGTTAACTTATGACATCTAGATAATCGACCTCTTGAAATTATAAGGCTTCTGCATATAAATTTAAATAAAATATACAGATTTAATTTTATGTAGGCCTTCGATTTTTTGCGACCATTAAAATGTTAGTACTGTAACAGTTTCTATCACAACTCAGTAATCTGTTTTATTCAGCACATATTTGACCATTAAATTTGCCATCGCCAATCGTAATAATTACACCGTACTTATTATTGTGGGCCTAATTGTTCGTTTATATATATCATACGCCTTCCAGATTTATGCACGGTTGTCAGTATGTATGTATCTCCATAATCTGTGCGTTGTTCAATAGTTAGTACATTATTTACCAATACATAGCTAATAGTATCAAGGTAAGTGAAGATTAGATACAAGTAACATTTCATCTTCCAAGATATTTCATACTATAGTCTGTTAAAGTTTTGATGATACTTCTACTTTTCTAAATATAGGGAAATATTTCTTGTCATCTTGGGATTGGATAATTCTGGAAAGACAACAATATCTCTCAGCATAAAGGGTGGTATGTTGTGATCATGTTCCTAAATTTTTTATCTATAATCATGCCTAAGTCTCCAGTGACTTAGTTGCTCCAACTATCGGTTTTGATCGTATTGAATTCACTGTTGATAATTTTAATATCAGCCTTTATGATCTCGGTGGTGGTCATACAATACGTGATATTTGGGAATCTTATTTTGCTGAAGTCTATGGTGTTATATTCGTGGTTGATTCAAGTGCACCAGAGAGATTAGAAGAATGTCATGAAGTATTAGTCAATGTTCTTTCCCATCCGTGCATATCCGGTAAACCGATTCTTCTGTAAGTTGTGAGATAGTTACACAAGGTCACGGATTGTGTTTATCACTTTAGACTAGCGAACAAACGAGATATTAAAGGTGCGTTAGACGAGTCGGAACTTATAGCTGCACTCCAACTGGACGATATTGTCAATGAATATAAATGCCCTTGTCGGCTGGTAAGCTTTGATCGGCTGGTTTTTTTTGGTCACTTTATCTCGATGCAAACCTTATTTCCAGTGTATTTCTGAAATAATGAGGAAAACAGACTTCATATTACGTTGAGGGTCGTGTGGTCGGCCTGTAGTTAAAGGAGAGCAGTTGTATGATCATTTCGCCTAGATTGTCTACATAGTGCCAGTCGCCATCTGTTAACAAATGACACCATAATAGCACGATAGACAAGATCAATACCTAAGGACCATTGGCTCAGAATGAGGTTATCTTTAACTCTCCCTAGCTAGGATAGAACACTACACATCAGGTAGATAACATCTAATCATACAGTTCAAGTTTATGACTTACCTATGCCGTATCATAAAGAAAAATCTTGACCACACTCAATATAATCAAAAAATGATGATTCAAGTAATAGTAGGAGAGATTTAGGCAAAATAGGTTCGTGACAAGTTAGTAATAGCTTACTAAAAGTAAGACTCTCAGCAGTAACTCACACTTTAACGAAAGCTTATTGGTAAGAGAACATAAACATACAACAAGTTAAGTATTTAGCGATTGTACAACAAAAATATGAACAATAACTTCAGGCAAAAGTTTTAAAGTTTCACCTTGGTTGAATACTTACTCCGTGACAGCTACTTTATACCTTTCTCCAGAAAGAATAGTATGCCAGTCACTCTAACCATCGTAAAATTAAATATATATGTACATATAGACACGGCCGTGATGAAATATATCAACATAGAACATAGCAAATATGTCCTTCGAACCCCTAAAGTCATCAAATTGCTTCAGCTATTTAACAAGTTGACATTAGTGGGAAAACTTCAGCAGGAAGGTAAATATAGAACCCATAGAAAGATTGATTCAATTTTATCTTTCTGTTGGATTTCTGTAAATATACCAGTATTCAATTTTTACAACCTTTGATATTCACTTTCACATGAATCGTATTCGTTAGCTTGAATGCTTTTATTTTTAGGAACATTGTTCTGCTTTATTACTGCCTAATCAAAAGTTGGATAAAGCAATTCGTGATGGTTTGAAGTGGCTTCTTGCATACATTCAATCAGATTTGATAAATATTCAATTACGGGTTGATGCTGATGTAGAGAGACAGACACAACGACAAACAGAAGAACGCGCAGCAAGAAAAGAAAGAGTTCGATTAGCTAAAGAGGAGAGAGAACGATTGGAAAAACTAGCTAATCAACAAAGAGGCGACATGTGTATATCGAATAGTATTGATGACGTAGGCGAAAACCCAAATGAAGTAATCAACCAGAAATTAACAGTAAAAACTGATAATACATGTACAATTTCAAATGTTTATGAAAATCACGTAAGTTTCTCCTAAAATTCATCATTACTCAGTTAATTATTTGTCCACAATTTACCCTTCATTAACGAAACTAGATTATAAGTAAAGTTATTACGTTATTATATTACTTTACATCAATATACAATAACGTTATCGTAATTATTCACCATAACTAATTCATGATTCCTATTACACTATCAACGAAGCACGATGCAATATAAGTTCATGCGATTAATTTTACACAGAAAATGCCAACATTTGCCCAAAGCACGCGTTATTGTTATATATTATGATCGAACTTTGAAAGTGACCTTTGTGGTCTCCATTTTCTTAATCATCTTATTTATTTAGTTTTATATAGCCAAGGTTGATCCGTTTAGTGTAGCACCGTATTTTTACAAATATCCATTAAGTAATGTAAATGTAAATATAAAACACACACTATTCACACTATTGCTCTGTTCTTGAGACATGGCTACTTATAATTTAGCTGCTTGAGATCTAATTGTCAATGATAATGCCCAAGTATTCGAGGTAGTAGAAGTATTAGCGGTAAACAAAAAGATTGGTGATCGAAGATATCATTCGAAAAGTATATCAAAGAGGAATCAATTTAAGAAAAGAGAGAGCGAGGAAAACAGTCACAAAAAAATTCATAAGCTTAAAATTTGAAAGAACACAGAGAATGGATATGTCTGTAAACGATTTTAAGCCATGCCATTCAATGTTTCTAACCATCGAGTATTATCATCTCGCGGAACCCAACCAGGAATTCTACACTTACCAACATGGCCCAGTTTACGTGTCAATGACATCACGGACTGGTGACATGTTTTGGTTAGGCCGCACATAGTTTTCTTCCAGTCTACCCCAACATCACAAAACAACTCGTCAAAACAGTCGGTGGTTAGGCATAAGTAACAATTGTTTTAACGACCTCAACTGAAGAAGGTTCACTACTGCATCAACCGATTTGCCATTCTTATCTAGCATCCTTTCCTAAACAGACATTGCTTACTGAGTGGTCCCAGGATATACGAGCAATGCTTCGAAGATACCTACGATCGAATACCAGCAACCCACTAATTTTCTCTACTCTAACTGGCCATGTTTCACATCTATAGAGTAGAAAAGAGAGAACTGATGCTCAGTACATTTATCCTTTGGTTAGCAGAAAGTGACGCAAGTTGGCAAAAGCCAGTCGAGACTTTTATATCGGTGCTGGAATTTCGTCACACACTAGACCATGCGCACTAATGAAACTCCCCAGATAAGTGAAACGGTCAACACACTCAACTACTCCATTCTTTATCACTAGGTCAGATGCCGATACAAACCAATCCTGAAGCAATATTATGCATTTCGAGGGGAGGAACCTGATCCTCAACATTCTTGCATTGTTGCTGAGGATAGTCAGAAGACTGTGTATTTTGTCAGCGTCTTCACAATATAGAACTATGCCATCTGCATATTTTAAGTCAACAAGCGAGTCTCCCGGTAAAGTTCAACCCCTGAAAATCCATCCGATGACAGTTGTCGTCTCTAAAATCATGTTAATGACAAATGTGAATACGTATGGAGAGAGTGGACAGCCTTAATGAACATCGTTCGGGGTCATCAATTCCGATGACACTTCGCCATAAACCCTCAGTCGACCTGCGGTATTCGACTAGAGATCCTGTACAAGTTTCATATACTTGTTCCTTATACTTTTCAATGACAGACACTGATAGGGTACCTCACCGTAAAGAGTCAAATGCCGTTTTAAGGTCAGGGAATACAACTATTGTAGGTCTCCAAAATGTGTGGCTGTATTCCAGGACCTGACGAAGGGTGAACGTCTTGTCTATAAATCCAACCCCAGATCTGAACGCACTCTGATTTTCTCGAATCTGCTCTTCAAGAGACCTAGTTAGGCGTCAAAATATTACCGAGTCTAAAACCTTAGACACTAGATTAGTCGAACTGATTCCTCTGTAACTGTCACAAGAGGACCTTTGTCCTTTCTTATAGACTGGGACAGTCAGTGATTGAGGCTATTCAGATGGAATTACGTCCAGTTCCCAGATCCTAGCTAAGATCTCATTCAATCTAAATGCCAAAACTGGACCATCACCCTTAAAAATTTCAGTGGTAAGCCTATCAGGACCTGCTGCACTCCCTCTCTTCAGATTCCCTATCGCTTTCTCAACTTCATAAAGTGTCAGAGGACTTACGTCGATTCGCCGTTTAGGATGACTGGAGATCGTAGGCAACGGAACTGTGGCTGAAGGCCAGTTCGATTGATCCGTAAAGTGTTCTGCCCGTCGATTGAGAATGAATAATAAGACCGTACTTTTCCAAGATAGTCTTACTTACAGTCGCTTTCCAAATACCGGTTTTCTTAGTAGTCTACTATTGCCTCTTGCCACTGCCTTTTCCATCCTCCTTGCTTTTGCTACCCACCACTGTTGGCGATCATTGTGTAGGCTTTTTATCAGCCTCCACATCGCACTCAGAGCTAGGCGGGATGAGTTTTCGAGCATCCATCAGTTTGGTAGTTGCTACTGAAATCCACGTCTTCTCCCTAACCTTATAGTTTGCCTTACTAGCAGATATCACTGCTGTTTCCACAGCTTTTTGGATATCATTCTGAGCCGCCCCAAGGTGGGCATCACTTATACGGTTGCGTAGCTGTTTTCTTAGTTGTTCTTGAAATATATTCTTAGCTTTCAAATCATTGAGTTGAACCCTAACACGTTTCTTTGCAGTGTCTTTTCTACATCCAGTAAGACGCAGAAAAATACGCGCCCGCAATATGGCATGATCTGAATCTAGACATGATCTCCAAAATGAACGACAGTCCTCATCGGAACCTCTCCACCGGTGGATGATGGAGGTTTGATCTAGTTGGGTCCAGCACTAAGATGACTTTGGGGGTCACCATGTCAAAAGATGCTTTTCCTTGTGCCCAAAGTCAATATTTGATAGAAATAAGTGACTATGCGAGTAGACGGTTGTCATTGTCTATTCGATGGGTCACGATATCATAAGATCCACCCAGCTGTCGCATCTTTTCGTCTAGTCTACCTCATTGAACAGTAAAGCCAACCTTCACTATTACTACATCAGAGTGTCTATCATTATGAAAGAGATCCGGTAGCTTTCTGTAAAATTCATCTTTTACCTCGTCCGAACTTCAGCCAGTGGGAGCGTAGACAGAGATAAGGAAGTGGCAACGATGAGTGTCCTTGTCTGTACGAGTACTTACAGTCCCGATTAATCAGACACCGGTTAAGCGACTATCTGCTGGGATACAGTCTAAGAGACTAAGACTTAATATGATACCTACACCAGGATAAGGGCTTCCAGATACACGAAGTGGAAACCGAGTTGGTTCTTTATCTGAAGGTAAAATTAAATTATTGATCCCACTAGGATCCTGTCACTACATTAGTATGATCAATGAAAATCAAAAATAGATCGAAGTGGCGACCATCTACCGTTTCAAGTTTTTTTTTTAGTTTATGACACTGTCCATAAGCTCTTTTGAAAACCTTTAGAAAGTTCACTAAGAGATGCAAATTATTATTAACATCGGTCTTTTAATTTTCAATTAACTTGCAAGTAATTAGCCGAATCATAATCATAGTTTTGCGAAATTTGTCAAGAATAGTGAGCGATATCTCAAGTGATTCTAAATTTATCTGAATCATCCAAGCCAAAATTGTAAACTATATTAGTGAAAATGATATGTAGTTCTTATGCACAAAGGTTAGGGTGTAAGTAAAAAATATCGAGTTTCTGAGAAATTTTCTAGTATTGTTAAGTTATTCACTATGAAAAGACATAAATCATTACCAATCGACTCTTAAATTTACTTCCAACAGCAGAACTTAAAAATATGTTCAGAGTGATCAACTGCAAACTAGATGCAAAAACAACAAACAAGTCAGTTTTTTAACAACAAATAAATGGATTACCTAAAATTCATGAAACTGACATATTTCTTTACATTCAATTTTATCAATATCACCCACCACCTAAACATATTCTCGCGACATGGTTGACGGAGCTAATCAACTCTATTCGTTAGTATTTATGTAAGTATTATGTAACGGATTTGTTTCAGTCGATCAATTTAATATGTGTGACATTAACATCAAGGAAAACACAATGAATTCTTTCCATTTGAATGCGTTTTTAAAAGTGTACAAGTGAGAGAGACCATTAGTATTGTAAAACTGAATAACCTTGCATTTCTTGTTCAAAGTTAAATATTCTCGAAAAAGTGACAGTGTTCTCGTGGCTAGTCCTTTCGAATCATTACTGGCTGATATCTTTATATCATATGTTGACGATTTAGCAGAAGACTTACTCAAAAAAGCAAGTCCTTATAAGCGGTCTTTTGATAATGCTCGTAAGAGAGCAACAATCTCACTCTTCTCTTAAACACATTAATTAGTTAAGATGATGGTTCAAATGATCTATTTATATCTTAGTCACCGCAGCGATTTTTTAATACAGTATATATGTGTGTATATATATTTTTTGATACCTCTTTGTACCGAAGTTTTTGTTTTGATAAATTACATGCGGTTTACTTATCTGGTCAATAAGGAGATGTTGATAAATTGAACTAGGCAGCAATTATTGATCGCTTAGTCAATAACTTGATTTGTCTATAATCCAAACAAGAACAACACACTACGAAATTAGTTGTCAGAAGTGACAACTAACTCCTAATCATTCTCACCTACTTACGTTTTGTGCTAATATTTGTGTGATTTTGAAGGCAGTCGTCATCACGAGTTGACAGAGGCTGGAGAAGCGCTTATTGTGAAAGACACATCAGAAAAAATTGCATACCCGATAATCAGAGAGAAAAAGAACACAAGAGTTATAATATTCAGCTTCTAAATAAACACAATCCTCAGTTTTCGATTTCAGTGAGTTTGTGATATCAGATGATCTGCAACTAACTTTATTGGTCAACTGTCCGACCGAAAATGAGAAATCCATCTTGAAACAGTCAAGTAATATCATTGCAGAGGATTCGAAGTGATTGATAAATGTTTTTTGATATCACGAACCGACATCCGCTGAAAACCAGGAAGCACTGTACAGCTAATTCATCCTAGTACGGAACTCCTGACAACTGCGCATCGATGACCACACTAAGAATCTGACCAAGGATTTTCATTCTCGTGATCAGTGGTTTACCTGTCTAACTTCAATCAGTTCACGATATTGTGCTATACAATCTTGACCTCGTGAAATCAATAACATAATATATTTAGCTTCTAGCTAGTTTAAGAAGTTTGCGATCGAAGCCATGTTAGTGAGCCTTAACATTCATTATTCAATTCCTCGTTTTTTAAAGAGTCAGTTGTATGAAGAAAATCTCTATTTGCCTTGCATTGAAATAGGAGTTCGTTTTATCTTGTGAGATTCTCATTTCTGAATGGACATCTTGTATAAGATATTTTGAATTCTCTTTTAAAGACTAAATCTTCAAATGTTATCATCTTTTAATCTTGCACATCAGTGACTTGGGTCACGATTGAAACAACGAAATTTGAACTCCACGTTCATTCACACTCAACGTTTAACCACTGAACACAGTACTGTAGTCTGGGATTTTCGCAAAACAGCAGATCTGTTACAAACGTAATGATTTACCAACTTAAACATTATTTTCTGTCTTTTGTTTGGTGTCTTATGAATTCATTACAAGTTAATAATCCGGAGATAACATGCACTAGAGAAGAAAAGTAATTCAATTGCGACAATAGCGTTCTTTGAAAACTTATCTAAAACCTCTTCCATTCTACTTGCAGTTGTGTGGCGACAGTCCTGAATGTGAAAAATCTATGAAAGTGAAAGAAATTAACCCCGGTAACCATACTCGATTCGAGCAGATCGATTCAGGAGCACCCAGTGAGAAACATCATTCTTTGGTCTCTTTACCATTGCATCCACTTGACCTATCACATCAAGTAAAATTAGCTGGTAACAGTGATCTGGAATACCAAAATAGAAAACTGAGTTCGAACGGCCAACGTAGTTTTGATAAAGAGGACTCATTGATTGATTTAGAAATAGAGCTGGATAATACTCGTAACAGCATTGAGAAAAATGATCATGTATCAAGACAGTTCTCATTGTCTCCTTCAATATCTAGTCATCAAAAAGAAGACGCTAAATCACATTCTGATGTCATGGAAATGAGTATATTGGAAAGTAAACTCCAATGTTATAAGGGAAATTCAGTTACTCAAACGGCAAATGGAAATGCCCGTTTTATCAACAGAACACCAACTGTGGTTCATTCATTATATGGGAAAAATTGTTCTTCAGTCAAAAAATCTGCTCACCAAGTAAGCATATTTATTTGATAATTGAATACTAGGGGTATTCTTTTTGCTGGTCAGAATCTGAAAAATATTTTTGTGTTTGTCTGGTTGTCGATCAGTAGTCATAAATATAGAAACAGGAACGAATGTGCATCGGTCCAATTTTTCACACCTCATGACGACACAGTTAGAGGAAACCAGCAAGGTGAAAAGTAGATGAAGTTAATTTATGGTGAAATAAAAACCAAAATATGAGAGATAATTTTTCAGTAGAAACAATAAGATTGACAAGTTGTAAATAGGGCTTAAGATGGGATTTAGAAAGAGAATCCATCTAACTGCTGTACTGTAACCTAACATCTAAAAGATTGCATGGGACCCAACCAGAAGACCTGAATCCACTAATATAGCCCAGACCAGCAGTATATATATCTTCGCGGATCGATCTTCGTGGGAACTTACCAATCAACATAGAGTACCTATCCGGTGACGATGTTCAGAATCATATGAACCCTTTGAGTGACAATGAAAACATATTTGGGATACGCTTCTTTCCCTTCAACTGCACGATGTTGATTGAGGATTGGTTCGCGCCATTGCCTGAACTCTGAACATAGAAAGTTAAGTAGTTGAGTGCGTTGATCATTTCACTCATCTCTAAAGTATCAGCCCTAACAACTTTTACAAATCTCCCATAATAATAAAACCCCATACAACCAGGTAGCCTACATCTACCAACATGATTCAGTCTACTTGTCAGTGACTTCATGGATTTCTGACATGTTTTAGTCTGGATGCCCCTAGCTTTCTTCCAATCTACTCCTACACCACAAAACATAGCTCGTCAAGGCAGTCGGTTTCCTAAGTGTAGCATTGCTTAAACGGTTGTTCCAGGATACACGAGCAATGCTTCGGATACACTTGTGATCGAAAACTAGTAACCTACGAATGTCCTCTACTCTTAACGGCCAAGTCTCGCATACGTACAGTAGGACGGAGCAAACTGCTGCACAGTACACTCGTCCTTTAGTCAGAAAACGGATATCTCGCACACGCCATAAGTGACGCAGGTTGGCAAAAGCTAATCGAGCCTTCTGTATCCGAGCTCAGATTTCGTCAGGAACCAGACCATCGGCACTGATGAGACTCCCAAGATAAGTGAAGCGGTCTACACGTTCGACTACTTCACTCCCTATCACTAGTTCAGGTCCCGATGAAACCCAATCTTGAAGCAACATTTTCCATTTCGAGGGTGAGAACCGCATCCCGAACATGCTTGCACTGTTGCTTAGGGTAGTCAGAAGACTCTGCATGTTGTCACCCACTTCACCAAGTAGCACTATGTCATCAGCATATTCTAAGTCAGTAAGCGATTTTCCTGGTAGAAAGTCGACTCCTGAAAATTCAGACGAGCATAATGTTACATCTAGAAGCATATCTATGACAACATGAAACAAAAATGAGGAAAGGGATAAGAAATACTTCCAAACCTGATGATTCAGAAGTTGTGTACTTTCGACTTACTAAAATAAACACTTAATAAATTAATATACCATTAGGTTTGTTGTTCAGTTGGTCCATAAGTCTACGATATGCAGATGGGCCACCTAAGAGATCAATGTTTTGTTATTTTCTTTTCTATCTTAACGAATTCAATGTTGTGTTACAAAATTATGTTCACATGAATGCGGTATAGTGACAAGTCATAGAAACCAGTAGAGTCTACTGCTTATGAATAACCACCTTTAAACTATTATTCCTATTCAGTATTTGTAGATAAGCCGAAATAACAGAATCCATTTAAAATGTATGCTTCCAAGCGTAACATACACTGTATTTTGTTGTCATTTTAGCTTTCTGATGGTTAATTCAACTTCAACCTAACTACTGTAATTTCTTCATCTATAGTAGTATGTCAAACTACTAATATTCAGCACTGAACTTAGCTTGTTTTCTCAATTCAATGAGAGAGATAATGAATGTTTTCCTTGAACGGTTGTTTCCACTGAGAAGCATGTACAACTGTGAATAGAAATTTTACAGATCTTAAATAACTGGCATATATAATGACTTTTGATTGATGATTTCTTGTGAACACCATACGATCATTGGTTTTCAAACATTTTTGTATTCATTTCTAATAATTTGAATTTTTCTAGTCGTTTAATGTTGAAATAAAAATGCTTTTTGAGAAAGTTGATAACAGTTCTAGTTTATTGGAAACTGGGTCGTTATCAATCAACATTTTCTAAAAGCTCAGACATTTGTCTCGAATTTCAATGAACTACATCCAATAACAGAGCAAAAACCAGAGAGCTTGACGTTACCCGTATCACATTGAGTTACATCAGAAACAAAAAATAACTCACACCAATTCCCCAAAACTCCTATTTCTAATTTTAATTTAAAAAATTCACAATGAGTGCATATATATATATATATATATATATATATATATATATATATTCGCTTTTTATTGAACAGCACACTAACGTCGCTTAGGTTACTTATCACTATTCAACTGTTCATAACATACTTGTACTTGCCAAGTCTGAAATGGAATGTAATCACTTAATTATTAAGGTTGATTACATAAACATGGTGATGGAATAAAAACTTAAGTGTTTCAGTTCCCGAATAAGCTCATTCATTATTCACAACGATTATCTCACAATCGAAATTGAGAAAAGTAAGTTCCGATTTAATAATTTGTTAGAAATATTTCTGTGAGTTAAAAAAGTAGGTGGGCATTTAGATACACATAAACTTTCCCTACTAATTATATTCCTGATAACTAGAGATCATCATGGAAACTTATCATCAACAGTTCGGTTACCAATCACACACTGACAGAGATTTACGCTATTCTAATGATCTTATGATCTGTTTGGTAAAATCTTAACATAACTACTGTTTGGTAGTCTGTAAACTGGGTGTGTATTGATCACCAAACGTTTTGTGGAACTTGACCAGCTTCTTTTCCTGAAGGCATGATCGACACGGACATTATAGACAAAATACTTTCTCCCATTATGTATAATGTAAATGTTCCCGCGATTGCAATGAATGAGCATAGTTTTTAAAAACATCATCCACACCATTCAGAAAATCTGTATTTAAATATAAACAGATCCACCAGTTTCGCGGACAGTCTGCGCGAGATCATCTACCTGATGAAGGGCACCCAATCGCTTCAAGATGTCGAGTACATGGACAAACATTGCCGTTGTAATATAGGAAATTTGTTGTTTTAAACGGAATCCTAGTTCAGTGCTTATTTTCAGAGCGAAAAATTAACTATAAGTTAACCTAACCTCAATATGCTGGAAAGATGGCTTTTTTAATATAGGCAATCCGAAAATGACTGACTCAGTGGATTCATGGGATAGATCGACGTCACTAAGCTGTAGCATACTTGAAGGTATATCGAATTCCGAGGAAGGAGGTCAGATTGATCAACTCAATCTGAACCAAGCAGATTCAAATAATACCAGCTTTTTAGATAATATCACTGAACTTATATTTTTTCAGAATCAACACAATAAATAGTTCTTCTGATCAGTTTTAACATATCTTCAGAGGTCTTTTGACCATCGTCATTTATTTAGCAGATCTGTGGCATCAAAACATGTGCTGTATAGTGTAGTGTATTGTGTTATTGGATATGCAAACTACTGAACTCTCTTTTGCGTTGAAAATCAATCCTGAATTCTTCAAAGATTGATTTGAGTCAGATTATTAGATCTTTGCTTAGTGGCTTCTTATCGATGATCTATCTTTCTAGTACTAGGGTGATACTGATTACTATGAAAGACATAAATATTGTTTTTGGAAATTGTGATCACACAGTGCTCAGAAGTCATTGGAAAATTAAGACACCTGTCATCTGCTCTCTGAATGAATTCAACGGCATACGTGTTGATCTCAGTCAGTAATGGAAAATTAACTATCAGTTCAATTGTGGGTGTCAAAAAAAACAAAAAAACAACTGAACTTCAACAAATATAATATTGATATAATCAAGCGTACAACAAATCTTATCCGTTGAATATTGTGTGAATGGAACACAACGAAAGAATTTGAAGCAAAGTAGTTAATGAATATATGAAGTAACACTACTGCAATAATAATGAGACTACAATATATGTTGATGACTCAGCGAAAATTTACTTCCGTATAAATAATTGTGTTTAAATTCTTTCAAGAGCGATACTAGTTTTTTCGCTTTTCCATCGTGATTTCATTGGACATAAATTTCTGGTTTTCGATTTCTCTATTTATCTAATTACAAAATGACAATTGGAAAATAAAAACAAATGACATCATATGTAACACTAAATTTCGTCTTGAATATATAAGTTTACTGTAATCGCAACGCTTTGTCGAGAAAACAAGTATACAACTGTGTACATGCGAATAGTCATGGTGTCAATAAACATGGATAATAGGATGATGCGTAATTCATCACCGTTTGAACATTTAGAGTATCGACATCAAAGCTTATCACATGTGCCATTGGCATAATAACACTGACAATATCAACAAAACGTGATACATATATAGTTAACCTAGCATGACGTATATAGTAAAAAAGTTAATCAGTGTGCTTATTGTTAACAACGATGTCCTGACAATTTCAACTGAAGTTCGTGTGTTGAGTTATACGTATATTATAAAGTCAACTACAAATTCATGGATATTCATCCTTTGTTTTGGTAATCATAAATCGATTCATCGAGAAATTATCTCACTTCAGATGATTGGATAGTTTCTTTTTTATTGTTCATGATTTACTTAGGATTACAATTGGTGTTGTAACATAGTAGAAAATATTTTCTCTTGGACACCGCTTTGTGGCTGATTCACATTATGGTTTGAGTAAATAGTCGAGATTATCGATATCAATCACTGAAACGAAACTAATATCTGCAAGGTTGATGTGATAACTTTAAATTTTGGAATCCTCGGTTCTCTTATTGAAACTCCAGTATGATGAGTAAAATAAATGACCGTCTGATAGAGTTTAATATTAAACATCTATAACTGGAAAATATCTATCGCTGTGAATAAGTGTGGGCTATTCTATCTATCGTGTCATAAACATCCATTTTCCTAGGAACTAACGCAAGTGACTAAATTCCGTGATATGGAATCAAGTTTGGTAAATGCCAATTAGACTTCATAGCTCACAGCATCATAGATACCCAAACATCAATATGTGTTTTAATTCACGAACATGGAATTTTACGAAAATCACGTCTACTTAAAATATTGTATTGGTTACTGTTTGTGCTTCTAAGGGCACACTGTTTAAATTTACGTGAACGAAAAAAAATTAAATTGTACAAGAAAAACTTAATTTGTTTTAACTCTATTCAACAAAAAAAATTTCTATAAAAATGCGTTACTTTTAGAAGACTTTCGTTGATTGCAGTGAGTTCAAATTGTAAATCTTGAACAAGCTTCGCCACGGATTCAGGAGTTTTTATTATTTCAATGCTTTGTGTGTAAGGGTTATAATGCACATCGAATGGTCGCTTGATAGTACGTACAAATTCCCTGGAAATGTCAAAGGATAAAAATCATGTTTGTTATCACTGAGAGTAAAAATCCTGCATTTCATTGAATTCATTTCTGTCAAGATACAATAGTATGTGAACTAACTTTAATCCAAAAATGTAAATATTCTTTGAAGTTGTGTGACTTTCAGGTAAAATAAAAGATTATTAGATTGTAAAATTAATACAAACGGTTTCGGAAGATTAATTAAGGTGTCCAAGATTCTTCGCTGACTACGAATCTTTGCCTGCAAATTCTGTATCTAAGGTCAAGCTCTAGTCTTACTTTTGAAGAGTTTTATTTTCAAAATATCTTAGAGAAGTGAAATTCTGCTTCCTATTTATTTGTAATGGGTGTACCAACTTAATGATAAGGACGAGAACATGTTAAATTCAAGATTGATTCGAGAAAAATTAGTTGTCCTTTAATGTAGTTTTGTCATCCAGCAACTTGCCCGGAAACAATTATGAATTCCCATCTACTCGATTAGTCTGAGCTATTTCTTGAGGGCCACCATGTCTTGTGTTAGTGTAATTCTCAGGTAGTTATAATAATTTTGTTCATCGATTTACTCTGTTTTAGTGACATAAAGATCAATATCTTCTTGATTGTACATAATCCACCCGTGTCTGAATCGTACTACATGACACAGTTAAAAGTTATGCTCGATACACTTTCAAATTGACATCAGAATTAAAACTGAAAGTTGTTAAATCTTTCTTTCTGTGCAACCCACTACCTTTGTTAAACAAAGGTAATTAGAAGTGTGCATAGAAATTAGTTCATGAGTATCAATGAGTAGCTATTAAATCATGTGAATTAGTTTTGATCCATAGCATGGACATGAAAAAAAACACGTAACTTTTAGATAACATGAACTTGATGAGTAGTTAAAACTTATGGAATTATTGCATTATCTGTTTAGAGTCACTGAATTGTAAACCTAATTAGTCATTGAAAGTGATTCAAATCTTTGTAATTTTAATTTAATGCATAAATACAAATCCAATTTTCGAGAAATTCATAATGACTGAATTTAACCAATTAAAAAACTTGCCTCATTTGACGTGTTGCATCTTCGAACGACGCAGTTTCAAAATAACCATTTTGAAAAGTAGTAACAAGGCATTCTTCGTTTATAACTTGCGTTGGAATGAAAGGTTTAACCACAGCTTTATCACTTAAAGCATACTATTGTAAAGCAATGAAAAATAAGTATTTGTGATAGTATTTTCTTTACGGCGTTTTATGAAACGTTTAAATGTCAGATATTTAAGAAGCTCACTTGAAATAATTACATGAACATGAGCGTATCTGATCGTAAACTATAATCTGATTTCGCAGAATATTGTTTCAAATTGATGGACAGAAACAAATTTATAAAAGGAAACCACGCTGCCAAAGATGTGTTGGACATCTACCTGTCTATTGCACCGTAAGTGCAATAATTGTTGTTTCATTTGAGTATCTGACGTGGTTATTTTATGCCGGCAAGCCTCTAAACGACTATTTATGGATGCAGCTAGATAATAGTCCTTCATTAATATCTTGTTTTATATTGTCATCCTCATACTAAAATCCTTTCATTAAACAACTTTTCTACCACCGAAGCATCAAATTTAAGTAGTTCTTGTTCTTATTGATTTATTCACCCTTTGAAAACTTAGTACACATCAGACTTTAATTTTCTTTTCCTAGCTAAAGTAACACTGCTGAGCTATAAGTCCTGAAAAATAATCTCACTTACCTGTAGTTCAGCAACGGATGAGAGTAAACCGGCACCATAAGCTCTTAGTTGGTTGTCTTGTCGACAAAGACCAAATTCAATAGTGAAAAAGTAGCACTATTTAATGTTGAATAAGAAAAACAATTTACTTTTTATCAAAATTCACCAAATTTTTGTTTAGATATAATATTACAACAATTTGATCTTAATTTCAACAAAACACTGTGTTGCTGGATTGTAAAAGTACGTTAACAGGAAAATTCATGTTGCTAGCTGTGCACAAACTACCGCTTCAATAAAGTATAAAGCATAATTTCATACATAAATGAAACCAAGTTACACCTTTGAGTCTCATCAGAATGAATCTATGAGTTGACTTGCTCTTTAAAGAGCATAATATTGATGAGCTTGCAAAACGCAATTCCGGATATTACTCTGCATCAATAGTATCAAGTAAATTAACTACTAGTTCAATTCTGTACCATCTACTAATTTCTGAATATGTCGGTCCTCTAGAAAAAGGTTTTTCAAAGTTAACTATGCAGTCAAATGTCTTGACTTAAAGGGAATACAAATTCAAAACTTATGCGCCCCGTAGGTTTTGTCCATGAAAGAAAGAAATTGAGTTTCTCATTATACCATGGTAAAAATTCTTTCCTACCTTCTGGATCTCATATTGTATTGTGATAACTTGCCTGTTTTTTTTTACCGTTACTAATCAGCTATCAGAAAAACTTCTAACCACTCTGTTCTAAACTATCTTGGATATTTGATATTTTCAGATAATTTACGACTCAATTGTTTGAGAGAATTTTATTGGAAGCGATATATATATATATATATATATATATATATATATATATATATGCCCGGATCTCATAATTGATATCGTCAAAAGGAAAATTCCCTTCCCTGAATTATTTTTATTCATTTTTCAATGAAACAACCTTTGACTGATAATAAGTCTGTTACGTTGGTTTAAGTAAATTGCCACTACCAATCTGTTACACTAAAGATCCATTTCACCAAATGATTCGCCTATTTAAATGAAATCAACTATGACAAACACTAATCCGATTCAAAGCACACGATGGATTATCGATTATTCAGATAGTTAATCCACCTGAAAGTATGATTAACTACTTGTTCTTGATACGTTGCTTACAAAATTTTGTACGCCCTAGTTACTTGATCATAAATTGTGATAACATCTAATAATTAATACTTGGAAAATTGTTAGAATATGTCGTAAGTTTTAGACTGCCAAGCATTATTCATGCTTCTGAAAATTAAACATACGGTAGCTAATTTCTTTATTTCTTCATCACTGGTACCCAAAGAAGCCAAACCGATTTCCTGTGAAAAGCGTGCAAACTTTGGATCAGCTAGCATAGGTACATGACCCAACAGTTCATGGCAGCAGTCACTGAATTTGAGAAAAATTTCATTACATCAATGTGGGAACGATAAATTACATAATATAATTTAAAAATATAATAAAAATTGTTTCGTCAATAATTTAATATAAGTTGATACTTATCTGAAACGTTTATAGTAGTTATATTTATTGATTAGCATGCCCGGTATAAAAGATTATTTCTTACCATTATTCAAATGCATGAAAGGAAATAATGGATTACTATCTAGTGTGCAGTGCCGTAAATTTAAAAAGCTATGCATATCGTTCATTTTTGGCCTCATCGAAGTCTTCTAAAAATCTGGAAACATTTAGTTCTGTGACATCTCACTTTATACCATGGATTAACCAGTTGCAATATACCATTAATTAGCACAAAGAGATGAAATTCTTAGGCCTAAATCAAGGGTGTTGAAGGTAGTAACGGTATCAGTTTTAGTTAGAAATATTAAGGATCGAAGATAATATTCGAAGAAAGATGAACAACTGATTTAAAAATAAATATGTATCAGGAACTGAGAATTTGGAGAATGATAAGGATGCACCTGAGCCATGGCAAATGGATATGGAGCCGTATAGTTTAAAGTATCTAATCACTGATTACTATTACCATGTGGACCTCATCTGCGAAGTCTGCATCTATATGGCTCAGTTCAGTTGTCACTGATATCACGGACTGGCAACATGTCTTGGTTTGACCGCACATCGAAAGCCAGTGTGCCAACTCACTTTGATAAGGCATTACTAGGTATTTTAGGTCGAACAAAAATAAGTTGAACATGTGATAATCAAGGTAAGCAATGCACAAATACATAAAAACAACCAAGATTTTAAGTGTATAATTGACAAAGTCAGTTGACGTGTGAATAGAAACTCGGGTAATAAAGTTTTATCAGTTTATCCAAAAGCTAGGACAGGCCATATGTCTCAACATACTAGTAATCAGATTACAGTCCCTATCTTTCCAAGTCCTCACTTCTCGTTTTAGTCAGACAGCACACATGCAAACGATTATTAAAATTTATTCCAGGACAGCTTATTCAGCTTCTCAACTCAATGCTTTACCTAGATCAGAGGAGTCATGGGTAGTAGCAGTGAGGCTTACAGATACACGAAGCGTAAATTGAGACGGTTCTTTATTTTCAAAAGCTGAGGTCAAGTGAATGACTGTACTCAGATCATTTATATGCGTTTCGGAGATGTAGCATTTATCAATGGAGCGAGTTACTACATTTCTAGCTAAGGAAGCCTGTTGTCCTAATTGGCTCCAATTCCAGATGTGTTGTTAAGTGCTTAGTTTCAGGAAGTCAGGAAATACACTTTGTGAACTTGAATCATTAGCTTTAGCGGTGAGGTGAGAAAAGTTGGATAAGAGGGTTATTGATGTTGGAGAGTGAGAATTGACCTTGAAAAAGTGATTTCATATGTTGTTGAGGTATGAGGGCGGTTGTCACTGCCTGGCTGCCCACATAGTGGATATTTCTTCTTAACAGACCCATAAATGAAACTGGGCTACTGTTAGTCATAGTGACGTGGGAGGGTAGCCGTAGGAGCACAAGGACAACTTCTTGAGGTCAGTCACTCATGGCATTTTTATATGAAATCTTAAAAGTGTTAGCTACACTCTTCAAAGAAATTTACCGTCGAAGACCGAAATCGGTGAAGTAAGGTGAGTTATGACATAGCTACTTTTAACTCAATAATATCTCAGAATAAAACAACAAACAGAACAATAACTCACGGCTCAGGTGTATAAAACGGATCAGCTTGATGACGTATATATTGAGTGCAATAGAATACACGAAATGCCAAGCCTGAAAGAAAATCGCGTGCCGATAGATAGCCCGCGACTGGTCTGAGACAAAATCCTGTTCGTGCTTTATAATAGTAAAGTTCAAAAAGAATAATAGTAATCATCACAGTTATGATTGTTATGAGAATTTGTACAATAAGTGTAAGAAAATCTTTAGTGAAATAATGTGATGAGTAAATTCATTAGTTCAAACTTTTTGAAATGAATCTGAAATGCAGTAAATCGATAACATTTTACTGGATAGTAAATTTTTTTCGCACTTCTTCAAACTATGTACTATCCAAAAGTAAAATGTACCGAATTACCGAACGTGGAAGAAAGATAAGTATTCAGAAAATGTAACCCGTGTGTCTCTCCAGTAGTGAAAGCTCAGGTGCTCAATGACTGTTGTTTTATTACGCTTTAAATATGTAAAATTAAAAATTACTATTCTCATCCATCATTTGTTCGATTACAGCGACGATTTGAAATGAAGTGTACTTTAGCCATATTCCTAGCAAAAAATAAGGCTATCAACTCTTGATCCATAGTCATCACACTAGAAATAATCATGACTGATTAAAACTATGGAGAAAATCTAAACAAACGTGTATAAATCTCAAGTTATTTCTCATTTCAATCATTTTAATTTAATCTCTTCAGAATGAAATAATTGGAAATAACTTACCCTTCAAAAATTCTGACACCACTTGTAACTGAGGTAGATCGAATTCGCTGGTATCAAATAAATTGTAATCGAAAAAAATATATTATAAAAGTGTTATTTGATGAGAATAGTATTTACAGTTTTACGAATACAATTTTAACTTTACACTAGATTTAAAGAAGGACAATTGTAGATATTTTCATAACCTGGGAAATAAAATATTTCGGTGTAAAGTAAACAGTCAATTCTATATTTGACTAATCTTTTGCCTTACAATAATCCAAATGTTGACGATGCAAACAGTTGTTCACGATAACAGTTATTATGAATTATCATCAAACTGGAATACACACCGAAGACCTAGGATGATGGTCACGCAATAACATGAGTTCACGGGGCTCAGCTTTTGCGCACGAGACCGAAGGTCACGGGTTCGATTTCGTGTGCCAAGTCATGAATGTACATTGGTGGTGGGTCCAGCCGTCCACTACATCCAGATTTCAAACGGTAGTATAATACTGATTGATTCATAATTTCAATGAAATTGAAAATATTGGCTAGATAATGTTTTCATGCCATGAGTTATTTTCTCGACTGAAGAAACGTCTCCATAAAGCATTAGTCACCAAACGAAGATTTTTTCGGATTCACACCCTTTGATAAAGTAGTTAACAATAAATACAATTTGACATAAATAATAATAACATGATATTTTCGTATACTTGGTGCGAAATTTTAAAAGACTATTACGACAAGTATTCCAGTGATAAAGTCTTTAAACCCCATTTGATGTGGTAGAGTAATTCATTCAGTAATCCTAAAATCCTCTGCTAGATGGTCCATGTAAGCGTAAGATATATGTTCAAGTCTTTTTGGTTTTGTTTTCAAACATCCGACCCTAATGAGTTCACCAAATGTTATTATCAACACTAAATAAAAGTTTTATATATGTTTTTTATTGTGGCAAAATTTTAGGTACTATCAGAACACTGCAACCCCGAGTATTGAATCTTTTATCTGAAATATGTCTTAACTTATCGAATAAATTATTGGGTCAGGTAACGATTGTGCTAATGTCTAAATACTTAAGGTATGGTAATCTCTAGCATGACCTTGACGAATAATATTAAACCAACTGTGATTTGAATTCACAATTCCTAATCACCCACACAGTGGAAAAAACCTTTTCCCTTGCACTGCTCAAGTTAATAAGATTGCTGTTTCTGGTAGCCCTTTCGTTACTGGGAGCTCTCAAAAATACAATAAAATGATTCGATCGGTTAACGTTTTGCTATTTTGCTATTGGTGATTCCCAGTTCCACCGAAATCGGAAACCATCTATGAGGTTTGTATAATGAAGAAGTGGTGAGAAAGCTGCCAGGAGAAATCCTAATTGCCCGCAAAGAAGGAGGTACATGTAATCATTTTATAATGACGCTTCATTCAAAGCCTCATTAATTGCATTTGTCAAGCATTTATGTATTCCAAAGAAATAGGTGAATGAGTAAGCTAAAAGGATGAAAGTTCAATTCCGTCAGGTCTCTACTAATTCCTGCTTTACGTATACTCTTCATTTTGGAACTATCTGTACCCACAGGCAGTGTTCGAGTCCAGACATAAGGGATTTTTACAAGCTAATATCCAAAATAATTAGTGTCTTTATGTTAATGAAAAAAATGAAGTTACGAAAAGTTTAGAAGTCATATAATTTCGCTGGATGTTGTGAATAAAGACTGGATGAGGATAATAAGGTAAAAGATTATTTCTTGACGAATGAAAATATGCTTCTTTTTAAAATTTCTGCTTTGAACATGAATTTCATGACAATACCAATTTGCTTTGGCTTTCATAATCGAGTAATCTACTCAATGCTTAATCAGTCCTTGCATTTCTTCAAACAATCAACAGGCAGTAGAAATCTAGCAGAGATTGTGATAAACGATTCACGATTCTGCAATCACGATAGTGTTTTCTGATTCGCATCACTTATTGAGCCATGTGCAATTTTTCATGCCGTCTGTAATTAAAACCCTGGATTTTATTGTCCGACGTGTGGGGTTATCACACAACAGTAATAGAACATGCTATGCTTCCAGAATGGTAAGTTTCTCTATCAGTGCTAAATAACTAACAGTTTGTTTGGTCAATATGGCAAATACTTGCAAGAAACGCTTGTCTTCCATTCAAGATATAATTTTTAGACCTTTCTGTTAATCATATCTGAATAGATTTTTCCCACTGTAATATCTGTGATTGCAAAAATATATTTCGTGATCAATCTGCTGTGTTCTGACTGCAAACAGTGAAGCTTGTGTAGAATTAACAGCAGTTGAAAAAAAATTTGGATTATTAGTGATTGAGTTGACCGTAAATTACACTAGTTCTTTCAAAGCTACTATCTAAGTCATTTCATATCTTATACTCTCTATGATGTTTTATTTCGAAATCATAAATATGTTGGTCAATATCGAACCTTGTATTACATTTTCCGTATGTTATATAATGAGGCTTAAACACTTTAGATGAAGCAGCTCAAGAAAAAAGATTATTCAACACCCATGAAATGATTTCCGAAAAAACCTTTGAATAAATGATTTACAAATCATTAAAGCCGAAAAAAATTGCACATCTAGTAGAAACTAGATGACTCGCATGGAATTCAACTAATCAAATCTTACATAGAAATGATTAACAACTGATTAAATAATTATTTTGGTGAAAAGAAATTTTGTCCATGAGTAAATCGAGCACATAGTTCAACAACATTTAGATCGATAATTATCCTTAGTGGTATTTAAAAACTACCGTCGGTTTAATGTCAGCCGAAATTGACCACATTGAAATTAAATCTCTCCTTTTGTTTACTGTTTCCTTCAAGAAATTCACAATCTGTGCCACAGATTTTAAGTAAACTTTCTTACTTGTATCCGGCTTTCTCTTCAAGTAAGGCAAAATTTCTTTGAAATTCATGACAAGCTGTAGTTTTATACAGGCGAGTTAGTTCACGGTATATACGTCCCCTGTGAAAGCAAACAGAAAAACCAATGCAATGCTATTATAATTACTTAAAAAATGGGTTACCACAAGTATACAGTGTCACTTATAGTTGACAACACCTTTAAAGTAGCAAGATATCAGTTGATTTTGTGAGGTTTACAATTGAGTATTCTTAATCTGAAAATTGATTGAATCGTGAACACATAATTGACTGAAAAAGCAGTTTTCTGGTTTTCAGTGCGTCGGTATAGTGAAATGAAAATAATTCGAGTTGATTATTTGGTTTTCGAAGTTTAACAAAGAAATTATATATATATATATATATATATATATATATATATATATATATATATATATATATATATATATATATATATATATATATATATATATATATATGTACACTCACATTTCTAATTTTTCGCCTATCCACCACTAAAGATATTTGGTTAGATGTCTCACTAGCAGAGCAAAAATGATCTGATCAATGGATACTTTAAGTCAGGAGCTGGAATTTATCAACAGCTCACTAACTGAGAACGGCTAACCTAGTGTGTTCTTAAACAAGTATATGTACAATTTAAAAAAGGAGTCGGAGACTTCGACCATTCGGAAGAAGCCATTATTTACTAAATTACAATTCAATGGAGATATGGCCTGTGATACTCTGCAGGACTGATTAACGAAAGTAATTAGTAGCACATTCAACGCGGCCAAACTAGCGTTGACCTTCTCAAGTCGACCAGCGATGTCTACCCAAACGAAGGATAAGTTACCTGAGTTGGCGTCCTTTATGTGTATTTTCAAATTCAGCTGCTCCTGTGGAGATAGCTATATCGGGCGCACTACCAGGCAACTTAACCAACAAATGAGTGGACATCTCCGAGCATGGTTTAAGAAGGGTCAGTCAATAACAGTACGCAGTTCATCTTAGCACACTTGGTTGATAGTGGTCATATTGTAGATTCGTACATGCAACCCCAATTCATGTGCTTAGAAGAAATTCCGTGGCCGGACATGACGTAACTAACGATTTAAAATTTTTTTGTTTGTCTTTTTTTGGTTTAAATTTTATTTCGTTATAATTAGCATTGTTTTCACATCCTGTATTTGTTGGTAATTCTCTGCCTCTTTCCGTTTATATTCTTAACTATCTAACTATGTACACACATCTTATTACGTAATGGTTTTAATGTTTTGTAATCATTAGTTTAAGTCTATTTATTCACATTTGACCTACTGTTGATAAAACTTTTGTTATCGTATTTTATTTTTCTTACAAATATATATACATGAAGAGGTTAATACTAAAAGACAGTGACCTATCCGTCAGTATGTTTTAAAAGTAATAGATCGAATGATGTAATATTGATAAGCTGTGTAACATTAGCAACCTCCAAGTAAACAAAAAGGATCTTATCAAGATTGAGAGAAAGACATTGGCAAAAGAGAGATTGTGCAATAAGACATAAAAACAATTAATTCTGATGTAAGCTATCATGATGGGTAAGATAAAGATAATTGAGCTGGATAAAGATGACTTTAGAGCTATGTAACATATCTGAAACGACTTTTTTAAAACGTAATAGCAACATAGAAGTAAGACTAAATTAAGGGGACGTATACGCTTTTTCAGTATACACGAATTAGACTGCTGGCTATTCCTATGGGTGCGAGCTGGAATCCGGGAACATATGTTAAGTTCAATGGCATCCCATAAATAACTTTAAAAGATGAATTTCTGTCAACAATGGTGACCAGTATCGACTTAATGCTCCAAAATAGAATTTCTTATTGTTTTCTCACGTTTTTCGACAACCATCAAGAGCATTGTTTAGAAATAAGATTATTAATTCAACTAGTTGTATGCCCAATGTTACTTGATTTTTAGGCGCAGGATGTTGTTCGGAAATAAGATGACGAATTGCTTAGCTGTGCACCTGATGTAACTGGTTCCATAGGAATAGTCGATTTCATCGATAAACAGAGATGAGGCGAATTCAAGAAATATGTTCTTATGGTAATGATCACATAGTTTAGCTGTAGTAAACGCTTTTCCTAGAATTTTTTAACGCATTGTGTTAATAATTCACCCGATGTCGTTTAAGAATACGAGTTTATTAGAAATTGTAGTTATCTATGACTTTGTCATAAGAGAGGAATTGAAATAACAGCAAAAAGTAAATAAAGTATATGCCTCTTACCAGGTCATTTTTTCTGTTTCTGTATATTCAATAATTGGTATTTGTTGACCCCTAGAAATCAAGAAAAAAGAATTCAGTCTCATATTATTCAGGGTTATATGAAACAGGTCAAGATTTAAATTTCCGTCAGTATATTGTCAGCTTCTTACTCATTAATAGTACAGCTCTTTGTGATGAGAATATTTTCCGTCTTTTTAGTGTTCCTCAACCCACTGATTTGATATTTTGATATTTTCAGATAGTCACAAGAACTGGTCTGAAAAATAATCCTACTATGTTTTATATAGCGCTGCATGTATAACACAGATGAATTGGATAACATAATTGAATAGTTTTATTTCGGATTGCCGATTATTTGAAATCGCATAGACCAACCACAGAGAAATTTCCCGGTAGACATCTTTATGAAGGAGTAGCACTGTGCAGTTGAGAGAGAGAATAAAACGCATGTTAACCGTTTTTCGATTAACGATGTTTGTTCAAGTAAAATTTCCATTCGATGAAGACAATCTTAAAGATTATAGAGAACACTTTTCAGACTTTGTTTATAAAAGTTGCTAAAACAAAGTAGTTACGAAAAGAATATCAATGAGTTATATATATCATGGAAAATTCAAAGAAAGCACTTATTAACTGATCTAGTATTCAGGTGTGAATAACCATGACATTGCTCACCATTTATACTGAAAAGCTATTTCAGCAAACATCATTCGACGTTTTCTGTATTCTTCATCTTTGAAACCCTGAAATACAGACATTTCCATGACAAAAAAAGATGGTTAATGGGAAGTTGAAATTAGCTAGTTGTAAAATATTATGAGTATTTCCTAGACATTGTCATCCATCGGGAATTCATACAACTAAGATCGATCTATTGCGTCAGCTGGTATGCTTCAACAAAAATAGTGTACTTCGGTCTCAGGGATGAAACAGTTTGATTGAAACGCAAGGTAAGAAAAAACAATGTTTAACAAGCAGGATACTCAGTGACACAGACGATGGAGCTGATTTTCATAATTTTTAGAGCACACGCCAACACCAGTATACAAAACTACTTTTAGCATCAGAATTATTCGATCAGTAAGTTAGGATGGTCATAAAATGAGGTCAATTACCTTATTCATGTACAAATACTAACTCATGAACGTGATGTTTTGTAAATTTTCTAAGAAGCCATTTCAGTCCTCACAGAGCACTACATGAAAGAACTGACGTTATTCATTTCAAAGGCTAGATAATTTTCATCAAAAATCTTAGGAGTAACTCAAGGAATACTCAAGGATCACCTGTTTCTTACGCATAACTAATAGTTATGTGGTTGCTTCACACTTTCTGTCCAACTAAAAAATATTCCCTATGCAAGTATTCATGGTTTCTTTAAATTTCATGTAATGAAGGAATTTCGGAAATTCAATACAACGAAAAACAATACAGTTACATCTGAACACGAAATACATCCGTTTTGTTTATTTTAGTAACTTTCTATCACTCACCGGATGATCTGCATCCAAATCCTTTCCATACATCAGAACACTGTGTGAGACTTCATCTAAGTCGGAAATGTGTCTTGGAAACCAAGGTACTTTTTCGTTTAAAGTTGGATTCTTTGCCCTCGCTGAATGAGAAAATATTTTGATAAATATCAACATGCATAGTATCGGTAAATTCACTTAAAGCCTAGGAGAATGTTTTATATAAGTTGCTATTCTCTACAGATTATTAAATCAAGTCTAAACTCAACCGTGATTTCATTTTCACGACAAATTAACAGAACTCACTCCCTCGTTATGAAAAAGATAGTAAACGAATATTTGGATTTATCATAAATATTCTAATGTTTGTATAATGTTAAGGCCAAGCCGTATTCAACTTAATTTTATGACCCATTTCGTTAGGTCACATGCGAAAGGTCAAAAAAAAATTTGCTCGATTTTTATTTCCTACTTAGTGTGACTTTAACTTTTGATGCAATTGAATTGAACTCATATCGGTATCCAAATATATCCCCATACTCTTATCGACTGTAAACGCGAAACAATCAATAATTTTATTCTCGCATAGATTTACACATTAAAAGCGGAAACATTTATATCGAAGTCTTCTTCGTATTTACATTATCTTCCGATGTGCTTGTTTATCCAATGGTTGCAGTATCAACTAATAATTAGCACTATACATTTTCCAAACATAGCTGGCATTTTGGCTTCTGAAAATTCCCGAGTGAATTCAGAGCAATACTAAAAGAATCAGCCTATTGAGAAATACTCAGTGAACGAGTCACACCACATTATGGAGTAGAAGTTGAGGAGGTAACCAACGACGTGCAATTAACATTTTCAGTAATGATAATAAACTGTCTGTTTACCGTGTATATTTGTTCATGCTGACGTTTCACTTTTGAATGTTTCTAATAAATGAAATACAATCTCACACTTCTTATTCAATACTATTTGACGCTTAGTTGGTCGGTAGTGTTAGGACATTTAAGTAATGTGAAGATATTTTGGAGAAATAGATCTTTGGAGTTCCAGGGTTAACTAATAGGAATATAGCAAAGGGATTTCTCTTCATTATGATGAAATAACATAGATTTTTATAATGCAAAAATGAATTTATCATCTAATTGCTAAGAAACCAAATTAATTCATGGGATAGATCATTCTGGTACGTGTACTGTTAAAAAATTTAACTGGTACTCTAAACCGGTTTGAGTAAAATGTAGATTAATTTTCCAAAAAACATATACGTCATGAATTCGGTTATATGTTAATCATAAATGTTCAGTGAGATATCACCTAAATTAGTATTGCCTTTACTAATACCTCACAGAAAACTGAATTGTTGAGTCTTAGATTTTCAACTATAATGACTTCTTATATTTTTGTCTGTCGTAGTCAAATAGACCAAAATAGAAATGATGAAGTTCACTGATTGACTTTAAATGTTACTTTTCACCAGTGAGTGAATGTAATCATATCAGTAATCAGATTTTTGAATTTTAACACTGACATTTACTCAGGGGAGGGATCTGATCGAAATAGTAAGAGGGTTTTAGTAATGAACTTTGAACTTATCTTCCCATTCTGTTTCATCCAGACTATAGCCGTGCATCCCCATTGGTTCACATAAATGATTATTAACATACAATAACTTACGTAAGTTCTCTAAAGAATTTTTAACAATACGATAAGATGAGAAAGATTTCAGTTCTTCCAGCAAACTCTCAGATTGTTTACGTGAAACTTCAAAATAGATTAACAATTCCAATGGTTCAAATTCCATATTTTTCATATGATTTTTCACATTTAACTTGTCAATCCTGCTTTCGATGTGTAAAATATTAATATGTCTGTCCTGAAAATCAAATAAACACAAAATTTGTGTGAGTTTGTTAGACAGATAGTACCTTTAGGAGTTATGTAAACAAGCAGTCATTGACAGTTTATTCAATAAATGTTTGTTTATTATGCAACTGTTATCATGTTTAGCAAGTCTTAACGAAATGATTTACATTTTTTTTTTAAATAAAAAGAACGTTTAAGTTTTGGTTGTTCCCTATGTTCATTGTAGCTGAATTATTAGTTCTGTTTTACTCCTCAAAAGACAATAACAGTATTAACAGTGCATACATAATTATTTCTAAATTATGAATAAAAATCAAAGCCTAGTACATAATTTAAATAAGACCTATTTGTACATGATTTCTATCGAGTTCTGAAACTCTTTGAAAATGTGCCGATTTCAGAAAATACGTATCAAGAAGGCAAGTGGCCGAATTTCACTATGAGTACTATAAGAATGTTGAACTCTGAATCGGATTCTCAGATGATTTAAATAAACATATGCACAAACATCACACTATGATGATAATGAAGTTAAACAAAATTTAAGCTAGGTTGCTGAATTTAAAATATTATCTGCTCTGTAAGTTCACTCGTTAGCATATCATTGTTCGTCATGACAACTATATTTCATTGCTTTGATAAATAACAAAACCTTGGGTACACTATGTTGCACTCCCTAAATACTCTGTTGTCAAAATGAAACATTCAAAGATACTCTGTGAAGAAATAAGTGATGAAATAAGTGGTGCATACTTATTTATTTCGAAAGTAAACACATCATTCTACGCCGTAAAATAATTTCGAGATTTCTAGGGACATTTTATGACTTGGGGTGGTGTGAAAACTTCGTTTTTTTTTCATAGCATATTCTCCCTTTCTTTTATATCACTCTATATTTATTGAAGGCTTATTTAATTAGCTAGTATAAGTTGACGAACATAAACGACTTCACAAGTATAGATATGTGTGTGTGATCAGACTGTTCAAAATACTTAGCGTAAATGGATCGGATCTGTCTTCTTATTGCTCCATCAAAATACTTAGTTTTACTTACGCTTTTAAATACACATGATCAATCAGTTATTTAAGTATTTAGAGAATTTTTGAGTGCAGTAAATCAGGTGGCAAAAACATCTGTACAGTCAAATAAAATATCATACAACAAACTACGTGCCCGTTAAACTGGAAATATTTAACATTAAGCATTGTAACGAGTATTCGAAGTAGAACATTTAGGAAGGAAAAGATATAAAACAAGTAACTTACAATAAAAATACTCATAATTGATTTTATGTCATTCATATTCTTAACTAGTAATATAATGATAATCGGTTCTTGGACATCGTCATCATCAGCCTTCAAGTGGGGACATTCTTCTTTCATTGATCCGACAGTTTTGTTTTTACAGGTTTCGTCCAGTTGCCTCTGTAAAGTAGATTCTCTAGACATGACTTCCATTTGGTCTTGGCTTTCAGATGCTTGTGATTGAATTGAAGATCGTTAAATCAGCTGTTATTGAATCCTGTAAACTAAATCAGATCATAAAACACCAAAGTTTGTTTATTTTGAATTTTGTCATTAAGTAGTAGTCACCTTCTAGCAGGTAATTTAATTTATATTTACAACTAAGAGCGACAAACGCATCAATATTATACGAATGTATCTAGGATGAGACTCATTTCTAATTGTATCTTTATTAAAATTTCTTATGGACAAGATAATCTGACTACAGTGTTTAAGGAATTCAGTTGAAATTATTATATGAGTTATACTAATTCAGCTAGCAAATAAACGTAAGATATACGTTTGTGGTAACATTCTTGAGTAAATCCTGTTTGCATGTATTCGGGTCTTAGTTATGGCTATTTCGCTAAGAATGCTACTTGAAGTTGCCTATTATATGTAGTAGTTCGGTGGCATAGAACCGATCGCTTTCACAATAAGATTAAAATTATCCATTACTGTACTGGTAATGAATTTCTTCAGTCGCCTAATTAGTAAGTGAATGCGAAAAGAAGTTTTCACGGTAATTTCAGTATCATCGATTTACTGATTCCATATAGTTTGCGAAATAGGAGAAATCACTTATCAAACTACACTTTTTCAGTATGCAATAAGCATAAGTAAGTTATATACGCAAGCAGCTTTCCATTCATAAGCGTAAGTTTGAGTGATAAACATACCAGATAAAACGTATGTAACACAGTTGAATGCTTAGTTTTACTAACGTGTAGAAAAAAATACACGAAAATCAGTGGTGAGGTCAGGGGGTTTAAATTGTCGAGGAGTCATTGATGAGTACAGGACGAAAAAAGGTGACCAGCAGCTGTTGCCTTTCTATGATTGTTTACCTATATATAATCGGTCTCTGTATTATTTATTAACCACAAAAGGAAATTACTCCAGGCTACCAGAATATTCAGGTTCCTATTTGTCCGTAATAGAAACGATATATCGGTTTTGAAAAAAAAAATACTTTTTAGATTTTATGGAAAATGAGCTCGAATATGCATACACTCTAAACAACATTTAAAAAAAATGGTATTTATCGGTAGAACATGTGAAATAACTAACTCATCTTAAAAAAGCAATAACGCAAAAAAAATCTGCATAGCATAAAATGACTTACAAAATATTTGCAAAATATGTATAAATCTCCTACATGTTCCGGTTTAAATACCGAAATAAAATGAGAGAAAAACGAAAAAAAAAATCAAATGTCAACCAATGAAATTTAGCATTTCAAAAATCCTAGTTGTCACCTAAAACAAAATACACAACATGAAGAGATAAATTAAATCACTAACCTGACTCATTTACATATTTTCAAAAGTAGATCAAGACTGACATAAAATTTAGATAAGAACAATGATTTGAAAAAGAAGAAATAACAAAAATATCTCTCTTCAGGTCATTAAGCTAAACAACTTTCCTGAATTGGAAATTCTTTTTTGATAAGTAGATGGATTAAGCTCACAAGACTCATAGCTATCGTTTATGACGATATATAAGCAGATGAAACCACATATATGTAAATGAATTGTGATAAAAAAAATGGGTGAGATTACGTAATGAATCGCAGTTTGTAGAACTTAGTTGAAATATAAGCGATACAGTTGAATGCATAATAATTAGGCAGATTTTGCTACACTTTGTTCCCTTATTTATTTGAAATTTAATGCATGTGTTCCATTTTACTTTTTCAAATATATTTTCGATGTTTTTGAGTTTTATTTTATCAAATTTCAGTCTACTCAGTCAACAACAACATAAAACTTCGTACGTATATACATCATTTCAAGTTGCCATACGACATTAGCATAGGGATGCAATGTCGGTTCAAATCCCATAGTAGTAGAGGAAGCGGAAATATTACCAGTAATCGGAGAGATCGGGGTTCGAAAATATTATTAATGAGGTTGAATCTGGTGAAATAAACTTAGGAAAAAATAGAGGTGATGAGGAATTCGGAAGGTTATAATTTAAAGAAACACAAAGAATTGATTCGTCTGCTCGATTGCAAACGGTTTTGAGCCATATACTTCAAGGTCTCTAATCATCTGTTACTATCATCTTGCGGACACCAACCAAGTAGTCTACACCTACCGACATGATTCAGTCCACTTATCAGTGACTTCATGAATTTGTGCCAAGTTTTGGCTTGGCCGTCCCTAGCTTTCTTCCAACCTACTTCTAAACCACAAAACATTGCTCGTCGAGGCAGTTGGTGGTTAGGCATACGCAACACATGTTCCAACCACCTTAAATGATGGAGCTTCAATACTTCATCTATTGATCTGCCATCTTTACCTAGCACCTGTTTCCTAACAACAGCATTGCTTACTGAGTGGTCCCAGGATATACAAGAAGTGCTTCGGAGACACCTATGATCGAAGACAAGCAACCTACGAATGTCCTCTACCCTAACTGCCCATGTTTCACATCTATAGAGGGAAATGATACGCAGTACACTCGTCCTTTATTCAATGAACGGATATCTCGTCTACGCCCTAAGTGACGCAAGTTGGCAAAAGCCAGTCGAGACTATTGTATCTGTGTTGAAATTTCGTCACATACTAGGCCATCAGAACTTATGAAACTCACCAGAAAAGTGGACCGGTCAACACGCTCAACTACTCCATTCCCTGTCACTGGTTCAGGTGCAGATACAAGTCAGTCGTTAAGGTACAATTTGGATTTCAAGGGGAAAACTGCATCCCGTACATGCTTGCATTGTTGCTTACGATAGTCATAAAACCCTGCAGTTTGTCAGCGACTTCACCGAATAGAACTATGTCCTCGGGATATTCTAGGTCAATAAGCGATCCTCCTGATAGAAGGTCCACCCCTGAAAGGTCAAACGATGATCATTTTAACCCTAAAAGGATGTCTACGAAAAAGCTAAACAGTAATGGAGAGAGTGTACAGCCCTGAGGGACAGCACTTGAAGTGAAGAATTCCAATGGTAGTTCGCAATAAGCTGTAACTCAACCTGTAATGTTCGAGTAGAGAGCTTGTATAAGGTTAATGTACTTCTCTGGTATACCTTTCAATTACAGACACTGCCACAGAACCTCATGATCCACTGAGTCGAATGCCGCCTTAAGGTCCAGGAAAACAACTATTGTAGGACGCCTAAATGTGTGTCTGTGTTCCAGGACCTGTCGTAGTGTGAAAATGTGGTCTATAAAGCCAAGTCTAGGTCTGCAACCAGCCTGTTTTTCTTGATTCTGCTCTTCTCGAGCTGTAGTTAGGCATCTAAGGATTATTGAGGCTAACAATTTAGAAACTATATTAGTTTGAATGACTTTCCTGTGATTGCTAGAAGAAGACTTTTGTCCTTTCTTATAAGTTGGGACAATCAGGGATTGAGACCAGTCGGATGCGATTGTGTCCGGTTCCGAGATTCTGTCTAATATCTTAGTGAATCTAGCTGCTAAAGCTGGACCACCATCCTTAAAAATATTTGGGATACATCTATCGGGTCATTCTGCTCTCCCTCGCTCTAGATTTCCCATAACATTTTGAACTTCATAAAGGTTCGGAGGGCCTACGTCGACTTGCCATTCATGATGATTTGGAGATCGTGGGATACCGAAGTGTGGCCGAAGGCCCGATTAACTGATCCCTAAAGTGTTCAGCCCATCGGTCCAGTCTCCTGGGTTGAGAATGAATAATAAGACCATACTTTTCCGAGATAGTCTCACTTACAGTCGGGTTCCTAATACCGGTTTCTTTGATAAGTCGGAACAACTGACACTGTTGCCTATCGCCACTGCCTTTTCCATTGCCTTGGCTTTCGCCACCCACCACTGTTCACGTTCGTTGCGTAGGCTTTTTAACAGCTTGCGCTTAAGCTGACTTCGCTCTTCATTGTTTTTAGAGCCAGATGATATAAGTATCCCGCAGTTCAGTAGATGCTACTGAGATCCACGGCTTCTTCCAAGCCTTATGGTTTACCATAATAGCATAGCTGCTGTTTCCATAGCCTTTCTGATATCATTCCAACCTGCCTCCGGATGGGAATCGCTTAAATGGTCGCCTGTCTTTCTAGTTGTTCCTGAAATATATTCTTCGCAGTTATCATTAGGTAAAACCCTAAGGGGCTTTCTTACGGTGTCTTTCCTACGCCCAGTAAGCTTCAAACAAATACGAGCTCGCACTAGGGCATGATCTGAATCTAAACATGTGCAGCAAAACGACCGACAGTCCTCTTTCGAACCCCTCCATCGGTGGCCGATGTGATTTGGTTAAGTCCAACGTTGAGACGACTTCGGGGGTCGCCAGATCAACAGATGCTTTTCCTTATACCTAAAGTTAGTGTTTGCTAGAAATAGTTGGTTATCTGAGTATAGCTGCAGCAAACGGCCGCCAGATACGACGAAGAAGCAACGACGGATGTCCCTATCTTTCCGAGTCCCTACTGTTCCGTTCAGTCGGATAGCGCACAATCGACTATCTACTGGGACCCAGTCTAGGAGCACTAGTTCTGCCCTACGACTCAATGCTATACCTGCACCAGCGAGACCCCGGGAAGAAGCATCAGGGCTACCGGATACACGAAGAGTAAATCGAGCTGCTTCTTTGTTTTGACAAGGCGAAATCAGAATAATCACTTTACTAGGATCCTGCATGCGCGTTTCCGGGACGCAGCACACATCGATGGCACGAGATTGTAAATTCCTAGCTAATGAAGCCTGTTGCCATATTTGACACAATGTCCGGACATTAAATGCTCTAACAAGTAATTTAGAATGTTTCAGGAGACCAGAAATGACGTTTCGTGAACTCGCATCGTTTGCGTTAGCGGTGCAGTGTGATTAATGTGAGTAGAGTTAGTCGTGGAGATAAGAGAGATGTTGAGGGGTTTAAAAAGGATTTATTTGTGACCGGTTCGGTCTCGTATGCTGTTACAGGTATGAGGGCGGTTGTCACTTCCCGCCTTCCCACACCGTGTAAGGTTGTTTCTTGAGGAACTTGAAAATAGTGTCTCCATTCGCAAATCTGTCACTGAATGTATCTTATATACTGATAAAATTCATTCATATTACTATACATTTACAAATGGATTTGTTTTATTGTAAACACATAATGAAGGTACAATCTTGCTACGTGCATAAAAAGAGATCAGGAACTTTTTTTAAAGACCATTTCATTTTTTTTAACAAATGACAAAACTATAACTTAAAACTTTTGTTTGAGAACTGTGCAAGAGGGGATTATATTAGACCTACTCCTACATATCTTCGTTATTGCCTATTGGTCAAGAATAATATTTGACTGGTTCCTTGTATTGCCTATGAATAACTACGTTCCTTAGCCTCGAATTATTACCAAATTATTAATTACGATTAGTGTAGTTTCGAGATTATATAAAAAAGGAAGATACTGAAATAAAGACAAGAAAATAATTTCAGCAAGTGGTATGAAGTTTAACCTGACAGAAAAACGTTCTACACCCAGAGATAATTATGCGGTTTCTTCATTTATTCCCAGCGAAATTTTATAAAATAAATGTAAGCATTCACGACTGTGTACATAAATACATCTAACTTCGCTGTATCAACCCGCATTGGAATGAAAAACAAGTATTTGTTACATTTTTATTAAATAGCACAACACACACAACCCAATGAGCACAATTAAAAGGTTTATGCATCTCCTCTTCTTTTAAAGCGATCACAAATTTCTCTCAATTTGACAACTTCATTGTGAATCTTTTCACGTTCCAAATTAAGCTAGTAAGAAAGTAAGTATTAATAAAACGATAACATAAATCATTTTCATATATGTAATGCGTATAAAGAAGAAAAACATTAAAAAAACTAGAAAAAATCAGTACTTCCAGCAAATACATATTTGAATCTATGCACGAGACGGTTGTTCTCATTAGGCCAGCTTGAAGTTTCTAAATTTACTGCAGTCACACATAACTTTTATACCATTGCACAAGCAGTTACTGCAGATAAGTATTTCCAAAAAATACAGTCGTGAGTGCTTGGATCTTTTTAGGATGGTGTTGGTTGGAATCAGGTGACATGTATAAGTGCTTCTACTGATGACTGATGGATATTTAACAGTTATTTGATGTTTCAGTAGCCATACTAAGCAGTACAAATATCTTAACTGTGAAATGAAGTTTTTTTCTTAACAAAATGTACACTTATTTTTAAATAACAACTTTTGTCATAGTTGTTAGTTTTATTTGAAGCAAAAATCTAGAATTATTAACCGAAATCCTTTAAACTTTCAGCGTTTTTTCTGAAAATTAGGACAACAATCAGTCCACCATGAATATATCAATAATGAATAAAGTGTGACAAAATGAAGATTTTTGGACGACACTAAAGAAACACCCTACCGCGATCGGGGATACCAGGAAGTGACATCCGCACTCACACCCATAACAGCTCATAAAATCAACTTTTCCCTCACCTCTAAATAAATCTCTTGTCTTCAAGAATAACCCTCTTCGTAAAACTTTGTCACATAGAGGTGCTAATGTTAACGATTTCAGTAGACGAAATATTACTCTTGGTCTCCTGAAATCCCAATTCAAGTTGCATGTTGGAGCTTCTAATGTTTGAACCTTGTGAAAAATATAACAGCATCCTTATTGAGGGACACCTTTAGAACGTAAGCTGCGCCTTTCAAAGGCAAATCAAGATTCCAGTACTGTCAGTCACGTTATCATCATAAAAAACCGTCGCGATTTCCACGTCGTGTAGTCAGTCAATCGCCAACAACGTAGAACTTTGTACGTACGTACATCAATCCAAGCTGCAAAACCATATTCGCACAGAGACGCAATTGTAAATTCAAATCCAAAAGTGGTAAATGTAGTATAAGAATAAGCAGTAATCGGAAATATTAGAGTTCGAAGATACCATTCAAGAAATAAAATCCAGTGAAATAAATTTGAGGAGGAAAATACGAAGATCATGAAAAATTTAGATAAATATTTTAGAGAACACAAAGGATGGATGTGTGGTGGCCAATTTCGACGTGTTCTTAGTCTTCATAATTAGCTCGTCCATATAATCGTTACTAAATAACGTCTGACGGTTTATAAATTAGGAGGCGTATTTGAAGTATTGAATACGTTTATTTTGGCACACCACAAATAGGGATAGCAGACCACAAGCAGACCGGGCAGGTACACTAGCGAGTGAATGTGCGAGTGTATTAAAAAGATTAAAATGTTCGTATATATACAGAGGAAAATGTCTGAGTCACCGTGATATTTAAGAGATCAATATTAAAGCGAATAGGATGCATTGCGCGTAGGCGGTAAGCAATGCTCAGTCATACCAGCTCATACAAACCACACAATAATAAAAGCCAATGGTACATATAAGTTATTGTTTTACAAATGGCTTGGTTTAACCAAATTAAATGTAAGCGAACTCGAATATACGTAAAGGCACTACAGATGCGCCAATTCCATTTCAAACAATTTTGAGCCATGTCTTTCGAGGTCTCTAACCACCAGTTATTATCATCTTGCTAACCCAAACCTGTTAGACTAGACTTACCAATATGGCTTAGTCATATGTGAGATTTGTGATATGTTTTAGTGTGGCCGCCCATAAATTTCTTCTAGCCTACCCATACAAAACAAAACATAGCTTAACGAGGCAATCGGTGTTTGGGCATTCGTAACACATGTCCCAACCACCTCAGCTGAGATCCAATATATCATTATTTGATTTGTCATCCTTACCTAGTACTCGTCCCCTAAAAAAACAGAATTGATTACTCGATTTCGTCACACACTAGGCCATTAGCACTAATGAGATTTCTAACACAGGTGAATCGGTAAACACACTCAACTACTTCACTGCCTATCACTAGTTCAGGCGCAAATACAAGACAATCCTGAAGTAACATTTTGCGTTTCGGGGCGAAAACCGGATACTGAACACGCTTGTATTGTTTCATACGGTGATCAGATACTCCGCACCTTCATCAAATAGAATTGTCATCGGCATACTCTAAGTCAACATGCGAATCTCCTGGCAGAAGATATATTCCCAAAAAGTCGAACGACGAAAATGTCATTTCTAAAAGCATGTTAATGATAAAGTTAAACGAGATTCGAGAAAGTGGACAGCCCTGACGAACACATATTGAAGTATTCATTTCTAATGAGTTCATCATCAGCTCCAACCCGGCCAGTAGTGTTTAAGATTAATGTACCGGTACTCCTTTTAGTGACAAACACTTCCATAGAACCTAGTGATAGAGTCAAATCCCGACTTACAGTCGAGGGATTCTACTGCTGTCGGACATCTGTCAATGTTCTACTCTCCCCGATCATTTCTAATACTTGTACTACAATTGGATAATAATTGACAATTGTGGCTTTGTGCTAATGTGATATGAAGTCTTGAACTGATGTACGCACGACGAAGTTCTACGTCGTAACTGACCAACTGACTAAGATGTGACCTCTTTTTTCCCGAAATACTATTCACACGTCAACTGCTGTCAGAAGAAATATAAGTTACATTTTCTAAATATTTATCTTTCTCCCAGGTTCTGTAATTCGTTACATTTTACTGTTGGATAGTACCTAGTTTTAAGAGGTGCGAAGAAAATTTACTATACAGTAAAATAATATCGATCGCCCCTTTATTGTCTCTGTCTTCGCTGCGATAGAGTATTTTACGGAAAGCAATAGAACCTCCTACAAAAAGCTAAGCGCTCTTATGTATTAGTGATGAGTGGTGATTTAAATGACAAAGTAGGGTACTTAGGTGGACCCTATGGTTTCATGGCTCATCGAACAGATTGTCGATCGTCTGCTGTAATTATGTTAACATGAACACCTGTTGACATAGCGACCACCGAAATTGACCCAACATCGCTATCAGCCACCGGTCAAGAGGCTTCATAGAAGACTAACTTTCATTTTAGAGCATCTGTCTAGATTCAGATCATGCTCTACTGTGAGCGCGTATTTGTCTGTGTCTTACTGGATGTAGAAAAGACACTGCAAGGAAACGTGTTAGGATTCTGCCTAATGATTAGGAAGCTAAGAATATATTTCAGGAACAACTAGGAAAACAGCTACGCAACCATATAAGTGATGCCCACCTTGAGACGGCTTGGAATGATATCCAAAAAGCTGTGGAAACAGCAGTGATATCTGCTAGTAAGGTAAACCATAAGGTTAGGGAGAAGACGTGGATTTCAGTTGCATCTACTAAACTGGAAGGAAGATGTTGTCTGGTCTGAGGGCAGGTTGGAAGAAAACATAGGGGGGTCAAAACAAAAAGTGTCACCAGTTCATAATGTCACTGAAAATTGCACTGAGCCATATTAATAGGCTTAGACTACAAGGTTGAGGTCCGCGAGACAATTGTAGCCTGTGAGTAAGACGAAGATGCATCTATCCTTTGAGTTCCCTCGAATTCTTATTATCTGAATTCATCATGAGCTTTATCTTACTTTTTTTAAATTTATTTCACCAGGATATACTTGTCAAGTCATATTTTCGAAATTTAATTTTTTACCACCATTAATATTGCAACAACCCCTACTACGATGAGATTTGAATTGACAGTTCGATCTCTTCGTGCTAATGTGGAATGGTCACTAGAACTGATGTGGGTACGTATCAGGTTTTCAATTGTTGCTGACTGACACGTTAGTTTTGCCATAACTCTTAGTTTTACTGATTTCATACATTTAAATCTTCAATAAACAGGATGAACCAACAATCTAATATGTTTTTTTATTAAATTTTATTCCGAAAAAACCAACACGGATGGTAATGTTTAGACAATTTCAACTAACGAAAAAAGGGAAGCACCTGTTAATCAACATATGAATATATATACATATATAGATGATATTGCACTACTCTTTTTCTAATACAAATTTTTTAATTGCAAATTGTAAAATGCTTGTTAGCAGTTCTTATTTGTTCATTCATGCTGATTCAGTGGTTTCGTTCAGAAAACAGAAGACCGATTAGGTCATAACAATAAATAAAGTGGTTAAGGAAATAGATTTCTAATCAGGCACTCCATTTTCAAATATGTACAATTCTAAACATAGCAATTCACATACATTTGAGTTTGTTTACATTTAATTAGGTTAAGCCCTTTTCTTAACTGACTTAACAGACAGTCATTTGTACAGCTACAACTTATCTGTACCGTAGTACTTTTATTAATTTCAGGCAGAGTTTTGGAGGTTTGTGTTTTTACACATTTGAAATCATCAATCAATAATTGTTAGACCACCGTTAGAAACCTCGAAGCACTGTGATCATGTATCCTTGAGCACTGCTTACCGCCTCCATGCTGTTTCATTTTACTCGCTTCAATGTAGGCCGCTTAATTCGATAACATGCATTTTCCCATGACTATATATGTACATTTTAATCCAGTTCATTCACTTGCTAGGTTTCTCTTCGGCACTCGAATATCATTTTCGCTTCCGCTTTGTATGCCCAAGGTTTCGTGATCGGTGTGATGCGATAATAAACGTAATCAAAGCTTAGTATTCGTCTTCTGATTTGTACATCGTTGAACGTTATGTAGTAAAAGTAATCAGGACGAGTAGTGTACCACGTTTAGGAATATATCGAATACCAACCGCCACAAAATTGGTGAGCCCATCTCCAACACAACATCTACAACTTCTATACTAAAAATCTGTAACCCTTTGGTTAATAACAGTTTATCAGACATTAATATAATCACAATGTTCGAGATCAATATTCCTGTTATTTTGGTAGGAAGTTTTGGTCAAACATTTTGGGTATGAAATGACTGACCACCATTAGGTTAGATATCTTCCTGAAAGTCATTGTCACCATCACATTTGTCTGTAAACAAGACAAAACACCGACTCCCACAGGTCATCAACAGTGCTCAAGAGCATAACAAGAGTAATCATGAAAAAACAAAGATCAAGGAAAGTTTGAAAGCATTATTCTTATCGAGAATGTACAACAGCAAATGAATCAAAAAATATTCTTCAGATAGACTAGCAGTGATGAAAATAGAGTGCATAATACTGTAAAATATACTAGATGAAATATAGTCAGAAAGAGTATATGAGCAGAATAATTGGTCTCATTTAAGAAATGCATACAGTGGATGAAAGGGGTGATGTTCGGTCCGTAAAATCTCAAAATCACGATCATGATAGAACAGATAGGATATGTTTATCAAATGCACAAAATGTGACCGACTAATACGAAAAATTAGTCTCTGATATCTGGTTAATTCAATGTTTATTTATTACAGTTAATATTTCTTTGGAGTCGGTTATATTGGTTGTTGTGTGTGAGTACGTTTCATGTGGTTTTAATAAAAATTCCCACCTAACTCAAAAAAAGCAATGAATGCGTCAGTAGTGCCGAAACAGGACTCCTAACAAATAAGGAATTATTGGCTAAAACGGACTCATTATTGAAGGCCATATATACGATAAACAGTAAACAAGCAGAAGGATTGCCAAACCTTTTTTTAAATGAATAAAAGCAAGAGCTAAATTCAAAAAGGGAGACTTGCACTACACTCTACTTCTACAATAGATTTTGTGACACATTACTTTTAGTTATCTGGTTCACTCTATCACGACAACAAGCTTAACAAATTTGTGGATTTATTACGTTTATAGAAAATAGCCTCACTTGCTTTTCCAACTTGTTAATTTTCACCTGGAGACCGATTTTCACTGCCAGAATAGACTCAACTAGTGTTCTGAAATCTAAGGGTTCTTGTATATTCTGAAAAAATAGGAAGTGACATATGAAAAAGGGGCGAAAATAAGTAAATCTTTATATTTTAGTTTTACGGAAATTTCTCATAATCACTTTTCTTCTTTAAACAACTAATTTAATTCTAGGCTCTGACTGCAAACAAATCTACAAGAGAAAGCACATCAATCGAAAGCGCAATTTTCGGTTAGCTCTTGTCACCAGCCACCACGGAAAACACCGTTCAAGATCATGTACATTGTCAGAAGAACTGAATTAAACAAAGTTCGGATGAAAATGTAGCAATTCACGTGGTGTACAAAAAATTTTTGTTCAAATCATTATTTTTTTCATGGTTTCAGCACGTTGGAATTTTATAACTCACCTCCATTTGCTGTACGAATAAATATCTGATTATTTCTAAGATCATTAGAAGAAGTTCCTTCAGACAAAAGTAACCTTTGAAAAAACAAATATCTCATATGTGACAAATTAGTATGTTTTGGTGATGAGGCTTTTTTTCCGAGATCCTGTCAGTTTAAGTGGCATTTCTTTTAGGTAGGTTAGTGGACAAAAATTACTCGTTTAACCTTGAATTTTTTTAGTAGGGAGAATGAGACAATAGTAGTCTCATATCTTGGTATTTGAACAATACAATAAGGATTTGTACTTACTTACTTACTTACTTTCGCCTGTTACCCCCAATGGAGCATAGGCCGCCCACCAGTTTTCGCCAACCAACTCTGTCCTGGGCTTCTTCCTCCAGTTCTGTCCAATGTTTGTTCATTCCTCTCATATCTTTCTCTGTTTCTCGGCGTAATGTGTTCCTTGGCCTTCCTCTTTTCCTTTTGCCTTGAGGGTTCCATGTGAGGGCTTGTCTTGTGACGCAGTTAGGTGCCTTTCGTAGTGTGTGTCCTATCCACTTCCACCGCTTCTTCCTCATTTCCTCCTCCACTGGAATCTGACTTGTTCTCTCCCACAGTTCGTTGTTGCTGATCGTGTCTGGCCAACGAATACGAAGTATTTTGCGTAGGCAGCTGTTAATAAACACTTGTATCTTCTGGATGATGCCTTTCGTAGTTCTCCAAGTTTCCGCTCCATACAGTAGAACTGTCTTGACATTTGTATTGAAAATCCTGATTTTGGTTTAGGTTGAAAGTTGTTTGGAGTTCCAGATATTTTTCAACTGTAGAAATGCAGCCCTTGCTTTGCCAATCCGCGCCCTCACATCTGCATCGGATCAACCTTTCTCGTTGATGATGCTGCCCAGATATGTAAAGGTGTTAACGTCCTCCAAGGCATCTCCATCAAGAGTGATTTGGTTGGTGCATGTTGTGTTGCATCGGAGAATTTTGCAGTTTAATCCATCATAAGAATTCCGTACGATGTTAACTATTTTCTCAGGCACACCGTAGTGTCGAAGAAGCCTCTACAGTGTTTTCCTGTCCACGCTATCGAATGCTTTCTCGTAGTCGATGAAGTTGATGTAGAGTGGTGAATTCCATTCAATTGATTGTTCCACAATGATCCGTAATGTAGCAATTTGGTCAGTACACGATCGATCAATAAGGATTTGTAGTTCTTGTTAAAGCTATAGAATAGTGAACTCATGTTAACATACATTATATTTCATTCAGTTCATTTTTTTTAGATTCATTATATTGATGGAGATTTACAATCTTTCAGATTGTTTTTATAATTCTTATCTTCCTTGAGATGACATTTGGAATAGTACATGGTTTCTATCGCCGTCATAAGACGAAATTTTCTTTCTTTCTTTTTTAAAGTGTATAAGCTGAACTTTCATCTTTATGTTTAAAATGAATTCATCAAGTTATGAAGTTTGTCGTTCACTTAATTAAATAAGAAATTTCAACAATATTTCAATGCATATTGTTTAGTAAGGTTAACTTCTAAGGATTTGGATGTCCACAGGAAATAAACAATGATGAACTGCTAAGTGCTCTCATCGTATATCATAAACTCAATGGTTGATTTCACTACTAACCATTTAGTTAGTATAGACAATAAAATACGAATTAGATTAAGCAAAAACAGTGATATGATTGAAGTGGTTAAATTCGAATTTGTAGTATCGCTAATCATACAAAATAAAGTTGTTAGTCTTGTTTTTCTGATGAAAGAATTCTTCTAGCCAAGTTGTGATGAAAGATCATTCAGCAAGCTCAACATAACTAAATGTAATTGGTTGTAACTAAGCTACAACATTGCTTGTCTTAAAGTGTTTCTAACAAGAGAAATGTATGTTAAATTCTTCAGAAAAATCAAATTCTAGTCAGTGGAATCGGGTGATTTGTATTCAGTTATAAATACAACCATAGGATTTCATGCAAATATTAAGAACATCGTAAATTAAAGAGATGCTTAAATTAGGAAATGAAATCAATCTGTCACCTTCAGGACAATCGAATATCCTTTTTTTTTAATTTGAAATAGTCTTCTCAATGATACAGTAAAAATAAAACACTTCATGATTATGTCAAAAGTGTAAAGATGAAATCACCTTCACAGTGGATGCTTCATCGTATTTCATTAGTTCATTTTCTAATTTTGTTTGTAAATCAGTTATATCTTTATGCAGTAAACGTAAGAGCTGTGATCTGAAATTCAAAGGAGACAATAGCAAAATTTACCACAGTAAAGATGGTCGATAATCGGGGATTATTACATGAGGAAAGGATAAATCTATCTAGTAATATCGAAAAATGAGCAACTGACAGAGATGTTATGTTTTAATAGATTTGTTACATTAAGTAATAGCTTGGCGACCAGTTTTATGTCAGGAAATTTATGACAAACAGATCAAACTGTCAGTATTATTTTTTCGTAAAATTTTTAGTGTATTTTTGTTTTGTAATACAGATTTATGAGGGTAAATGTATTTTTATTATTAATTTAGTTGTTTTTAATGAGCGGATCTATATACTGTACATATCATTACTTCAGTAGGCTTCAGTATACAGATTGTTTTAATTTATTAACTAAAATGGGCGTAGTTCACTTTCGAGCTCGACAACATTCCGCGCACATTTTAAAGAACTTTAAGTATGATTATTATCACAAGTTTTTAAACAACCTCACTATGAGATTGTGATTAAGAATAAATAGACATTTGAGGGAAAATATAAACTTATTTACTCAAATCGTTTAAATTGACCCATTCACTGGTTACCTACGGAGATTAAACAAATCAATCAGGAATTCAGACAACAATAATGATAAAACGAAAAGCAATAATAAGTGTATAAATTGTAACACATTCGAAACCTTACTTTAACCAATTCTAGTTTTGATTCTTTATTTCTGATTGCTGTCAGTTGATTTCTCTATTAAATGTAAGTGCATTGTGTGCCGACTGAGTTGTCGGCTCATCTTTTTCTCTTCCAGACAACCTTACACGCTGTTACATAGATATCCTCAAGCACACAAGGTACCTCTCGGCTAAGCGCAAACTAAGCACAGGCTGAAGTTACAGTATTCTCATTCACATTTCATTCCATTTTATTGGATGTTGTATCAAACAAGTTTACTCAAATGTAAGTTATATGATTACCTTATTAAGATAAGAATTTAAATTTAAACTTCAGCCAAAATAAGTTCGTAGACTCAATTTTTTGTCGCTTTCAGTAGTTAAATTGATGTTACTACTTTATCACCAATTACCAAAAGGTATCGTACTGTATCTTAGTATGGACCACGTACACCTATACACATAACTATTTACATGCTTTACATGCATGCAAAAAAGTTATGACTGAAGACTATGGAATTTGGTACACTTAATGAAATCTTGGATAACAATTGTATACAGTTTATTATCTTTATTCGCTATCGATCTGAGGTAATTTTGAACTGTTATTACTATGTACAACTTGAGTGAACTTATGAAAAATTGGTGAAAATGTATGGAATTTACCATTTCATCAAAACTAAGTAGACTCCATTGAGTTCATCGATCAAGTCACATTAAACTGCTGACATAAAGTATCCACACAACTCCAATCAACACTACTTTTTACAAATTTTGGGCTAACAATCATTATGTATAGTTTGGGACTTAGGTAAAAAAAGAATTAACAAACATTGGCTGACTGTTAAACCTGGATGTTCTACTTATTTCAAACTTTTTATCAGTAACTACGTATAGCATTAGCTAAAATTCAAGCTCATCGTTTCTTCATAAAATGTAACAATTTTACCTACAGTTTAGAGTTGTTATTTTCGGACTCGTTTACAGATCGATCAGAACCGTTCAAATCACAAGTCTAAAAATAGATAAATAAATTAATAATGATCAAATCTTTCGAAATTCCATTTCACTAACAAACTACTCAATCAAAGTAAAAATAAGTATCACAGCTTAGATATACTTGTTTTCAAAAGATTACCAACTTTCCAAGCAATGTTTATTACTTTGGCTGGGTCAATGAATTCAAATCAATAATAAGGACTTATGATAACGAAACTACCTCAGTCAAAACTGTTGGGGATGTTAGATCCTCAGAACTCGCTTGATAAATCTCTTTATTCTGGATTTATTTCATGGACCGATCAGTTGACCTTGAGATTACAACATTTCCCACCAGAAAAATCCTTGGCTGTGATTGGTTACTGTGTCATTTTAGTGTGCTATTTTTGTGACCGTCCCAAAGACGTCTCTGTGGAGAATAAATAAACGCGATTTGAGTGCTTGGATTCATTGTGTGCTAGATGGGTGTTTGTAGAATACACTTTCTACGCTATATCAAGACTTCTTGCTGGTACAGTTCGGTCAAGGGATCACAGTAGCCTACCTAGACTCTGGTTGATTGTTTTGTTCTCGTTATTCGACTAAGGTGAACCCGTAATAGTTTAAGCATACCTAGAGACGAGCGTAACAAAAACTCAATTCAAGTATCCGAAAACAAAAGAATAATTGGATATCTAGTGGTAAAGAGAAAGATTATTAAATCAGAAGTAAATTTTTATGAAATTATGATCAATCGTCATTATTTTTGTTACAAATACAAGTTGTTGGCTATCTTCTGGACATATTAGTAGTCAATAGTCATAGAACTTAAGGTAATTGTTCCTCTGTTTTCAGCATCAGCACATATACTTAAAGCAAAAACATATTTGTACAACTTACATTAGGAACTGGATTTATTTCAAGATTATTCAAATTTGGATTCCATTTGTCTATGACTCCGAGAAGTTTTTCAATTATACAGTTGAAAAGTTTTTGCAGCTGTTGATTCTGTTGATGTCTGTAACATAAAACAAACAAAAAATAATAATGAAATGTTGCATTTCTTTTTTAATTTATTAAATCTTTAGGAATACACAAAATCACCGAAACGTTTAATTACAAAAATGTCAAATGCTTATAGAGTAACTGTAAACCTAGTTTAGTTTTATCATAGGCAAAACTCGTTGTTCAGTGACTAGAACACCATTTGGTATTGTTGAACTGCAATACAAATGGTCTTTCAGTGTTAATATTTGAACAAGTTATTGAATGTTGTTGAGCGTTTAATTTTACAGTAAGAGAATATTTGTATTTGCACTGTAAAGGCGTTCCGAAACCCAATACACACGACTCTTTTTAATGGTGCCCCAACTGTTATGAAAAGTATCATTAGATAGGAGAAATCCATTACAAATCATCATCATATTTAGTACGTTTGTTAAGTTGCACACAAATTATATTCATAGTGAAAATTAATAAAATAACTGATCATTCTAAACACTTAGCTAGATACTGAAGGTCGATTTTAGTGCAAAACAGCACCAGAACACCAGTGACCGAATGATGTTTATCTCAATATCCCATTAACAAGTAAAGCCTGACAACTTAAATAAAACATTTATCGGCAATAGAGATCTCCTCTCAAGACTGAGAACTTCAGTCTAGTATCTAACTGGAATGTAAAACATATTCACATAAAATTTCATATTTTTTATAAGCATCATCATCATAAACTAATTTAAAGCACCATTAAAAGTGAATGTTAATCATCCTGGGACAAGAACTTAAGGCTAGAAAAGTATGTTACAAGTTTTAAAGTAGATATTATCTGCATGTTACGAATACACACTATTCACTACTTTATTCGAACTTTTTTTGAACAAACGCAGACGAGTATTAGCGCATAAAACGACATATACTTACCTACTTTTAACTTCAGCTCTTAAAGCATTTTTCATAGTTTCGTTAACTATGGGAGTTTCAAAACGTTTGACTAGTTTCTCCATTTCCTCCAAACGTGCTTTATGCTCTTTCAGTGTAAGCTTGTTGATAATTAAACAAATACCAGTAATGAGGAGAGGGAAACAATGTATGCAAAAACAATTTTTCGAGGAAGAGATAGTGATGTAGTCACATAGATTTCCTGAACTCCTGCTGAACTTGATCTTATTCTACACCTTGACGAATAAGGAACCGAAATCGAGATTGTGAAATACAAAGTTTACTTAATTTAGGAATCTTGAGTTTATCTTTTATCTAGAGAGGTTCTATTCACTGGATTCACATAAGAAATGTGTTTATCTATGAAAGTGGGGTGAGAGTGAAGGTCGACACTTTAGAATTTAGAGTTGTGACGTAGAAGTGTTGGAAAACCCTGACTCCAAAGGAATGGTGCATATGAGTTTCTGAGGCGTGAAGGAGCAGGTAGAACATTGATTCAACTTAGTAAATAGCTTATATATATATATATATATATATATATATATATATATATATATATATATATATATATATAACGGAATCACAAACTAGTTTTTTGAGTTTATAATGCGACAACTTAATTCATTATACAGTTAGGATAACAAATATATTTTCTAAACAAGGAGATCTTGAGTACGATAAATAAATACACGTAAAACACAGTATCATTTCGCAAACAAATACAGCGAAATAAATTTTTGATCTGATACAGGTAGGTTTTTCCTACTTTCATCAGATTATGATAACAATAAATGCGTCATCTAAGCAGCAAACTCAGTGGTTTTAAGTATACTAGCTCATAGACTAGGCTGTGAACAACACGTGTTATTTGATATTGAATGAAACTATGTGACTGCTTAAACTGAAAAAATAACAAAGCGATTTTAAGAGCGATGCCACAGCGCATTGGGTGCTAAAGCAAGATTAATCAAAATACTTAGTGGTAATATTATGGCAAACGCATTTTATTCGAACAGCCACTAAAGTATATCTGTCAAAGTGAAATATACCTGATATTCAGAATAAACACTCATTTCTGAACTATTTTCATCTTGGCTTAGGAGAATCTCTTCTGAATTGGTTCTACAAAATTCCATAAAGAAAGCGAAAATATTGAGCAAAATATACGTCTCATCAAAGTAATGCAAACAGTCGAATTAGTTAGAGCATTTGTATTATTATTTTGTTCATTGCTTACAATGTCTGTTAGTACTGTATACTTTTACGAGAGAAATTCGTCTCCCAAAAACCCTGCATAACTTTGAAGACATACCAACAATGAAGCTGAAAGAGGATACACATCAATAATCTTTCAGTTATCAGCTTTACGATGGCAGATATGACTCCAAAATAGCACCAAAATTCACTTGAACTACCATATGTACTTGTTTTTCATTTAAATAGAAATCAATAATTGGTCCATCACTAAAGCTCCGTAATAATCTCTATCCAATCTAAATCATAGATTACCAGATGCGATAAGCAAGCGACCACGAATAATGAGTTACAGTTAAAAGGCTGTATACATCATAAATTAGTTACAGCTTAGACTAGACTAGACTAGCGAGCCTCCTGGTAAAAGGTCTACTCCTCAAAATTCAGACGAGGATAAGGTTATTTCTAGGAGCATGTCTATGATAAAATTAAACAAGAATGGAGAAAGTGGACATCCCTGACGGACACCACTTGAAGTAAAGAATTCCGGTGACAGTTCGCCATAAGCTCTCACTCGACCAGTGGTGTTTGAGTACAGAGCTTGTATGAGGTTAATGTACTTATTTGGTACACCTTTCAATGACAGACACTGCCACACAACCTCATGATCCACTGAGTCGAATGCCGCCTTAAGGTCCAGGAAAACAACTATTGTAGGACGTCTAAATGTGTGTCTGTGTCCCAGGACCTGTCGTAGTGTGAAAATGTGGTCTATACAGCCACGTCCAGGTCTGAAACCAGACTGGTTTTCTCGAGTTTGCTCTTCACGAGCACTAGTAAGGCGTCTAACGATTATCGACGCTAAAAATTTAGCTACTATATTAGTTAGACTTATTTCCCTGTGACTGTCACAAAAAGACTTTTGTCCTTTCTTATAAATTGGGACAATCAGTGATTGGGACCAGTCGGATAGGATTATGTCCAGTTCCTAGATTCTACCCAAGATCTCAGTCAACCTAGCTGCTAAAACTGGACCATCATCCTTAAATATCTCAGGGGTCAGTCTATCAGGACCTGCAGCTCGTCCTCGCTTCAGATTTCCTAACGCTTTCTCAACGTCATTAAGACTAGGCGGACTTACGTCGATTTGCCATTCAGGATGACGTGGGTAACGGAAGAGTGGCTCGAGGCCAAGGTGTGGGTAAAATATAAAATAGACCCGATCATAAAACTTATTTTTGCTACCAAAATTTCATATTCAATCTGACAAAAAGTTTCTAAATTTTGATAAAATAATGAGAGGATGTAATTGATCTGAAAAAGTGATCTGATTGCGCTATACGATTCGAACAATCTGGTCACACATAATTGTCAAGGGTTATAGAACATGTGCCTAAACATCTTCGAATTTCGAACGACCCAATAAAAGTTACTAATGACATTCATCATTGTTGCTAATTTCCCAATCATGTTGCATGTTGTTAGCAACTGAAGTTGTTATTACCGGTAAACGACTGGATTTTACAGCAACTGTCAATAAATTTGTATTCTGCGCAATATTTTTGCTCTTTAGTTTCCGTAATCGTCAGAATTAAAAGTAAACTGTTTTGTAACCTTAAGCAGTGCTTTTAGGGGTGTAGTAAATGTTTTCATGTCTATCTCACAAGGCTCGTACCACTTATCTTTTGACCTTGTTGGTCATTCGTTCATATCTGCGTTGCTTTTATTCGTCGGTGTGCACGCCTATCTCGCTTACTACATGTCTGGCTCATTTTTGTCTGCTTTAATCGAAAGGAGTTGGCTCTCTTGCCTTTTCCACTTCAATTCACTTCGCTTTGCTTGTATGCGTGAACGTTTGTTTGAAATAAATTCATCCAAGTGAATTCATATTTGGCTTTTTATTACCGCCGTCGCACAAACGGGGTTCGCCTAGGTATAGAATACGGAAACTGATGGAGAGATTTATTTTATAGCAGACTTTAATATTCATAAAAAAATGGAGTCAGATCGCAGGTTACCAAAGTAGTGAGCTATACATTGAGTCTAATGGCGCAACAAAGTGGTGAGTCCGACGTCGAATCTAACGCAGCCAACAAAGTGGTAAGCCGGACGTCGAAACAAATACCGCAACTGAGGCACCAAGTGCAACAGACGGGTAATAATTTTTTTACTATTTGGTAACTCACTGGTATGTTTAACAAATTATTAGACCTATAACACTAGTTGTGGGTAATAAGAAATGATTCTGCGTCATCTGAACACTTGAATGACAGTCAGACGGAAGAAGCTGATTAATCTCAAAACAGCCGATCAGCACAATCGATAAGTTGCCCTTTATTTTTGTTATTGGCAATTGTTCGGCTTATATAATTTCTGGAACTTTCCAGAAAATGTAAGTGAATTATCTTAAAATTTACATTTGAAGATATAACGAGATAAATTTAACTACAGTTAATCTAATATTCTCTGAATAGACAAAACAACTTACAGCCCATTATCACCTTCAGTTTCCTTTTGAGTTGTATGTGCTTCTAGTGATTGGATTTTATTGAACAAGACGTCTAATTTGCCAAACAATTCTTTTTCAATACCAGACATACTTTTATGTGAATTTAAAAGGAATAAATCAGATTAACATTTTTCTAATAAAAGTTTGACAACTATGCGCAAAAGGTACAACTCATTTCCGATTTAATTTACAACTTATGAACTATTTATTATACGCCAACTTTTTAGAACTAGAGATATGCTCTTTTGTACCAGAGATTACCACCACCACTCGCCCATTCTTACATGTTAATGTGCTACTTACTAAATTGTTGAGCTTCAATCAAAATGACTTATGTATGATTTATCGATTACAAACTTGACGGAATCAATTGATGTTTGTGTTTTAAGAATATAATTGGATTGTGAAAATTCAATTCCGATTATTTTGAGAAAAAAAAAGTAATACCATTGTGTTTATGTGAATATTTTTTCATAAACTTTTTTTCTGTCTCTCAGTCAGTCAGTTGCAACGTAGAACTTCGTACGTAAGTACATCAGTTCATGTCGCCATACCACATCAGCACAGAGATATAATTGTCAATTCAAATCCAATAGTAGAAGAGGTAGTAAAGGTATTAGAAGTAATCGTAGACGTTAGAATTAGAAGATATTATTCACGAAGTATGATTCAATGAGATAAGTTTAGAAAGTAAAAGCTAGAGGTGTTGAAGAACCCAGAAGATTAGGATTTGAGAGAACACAAAGAATAAATGCACTGGCGCCATTGCGAACGATTTTGAGCCATGTCATTCAAGGTCTCTAGCCATCGATTATTATCATCTCGCGGACCCCAACCAGGTAGTCGACAATTACCGACAAGGCTAAGTCCACTCGTTAATGACTTCATGGATTTCTGTCATGTTTTGGTCTGGCCGCCCCTAGCTCTCTTCCAACCTATTCCTACACTACAAAACAAAGCTCGACGAGGCAGTCGGTGGTTGGGCATACGCAACACGTGTCCCAACCACCTCAACTGATGAAGTTTCACCACTTCATCGATTGATCTGCCATTCTTACCTAGTACCCGTTTCCTAATAACAGCGTTGCTCACTCGGGTGTCCCACGATATACGAGCAATGCTTCGAAGACATCTATGATCGAAAACCAATAACCGACGAGTATCTTCTACTCTCATTGGCCATGTTTCACAGCCATAAAGTAAGACGGAGCGAACTACTGCGCAGTACACTCGTCCTTTAGTCAGCAAACGGATATCTCGCACACGCCATAAGTGATGCAGGTTGGCAAAAGCCAATCAAGCCTTCTGTATCCGAGCTGAGATTTCGTCACACACCAGGCCATCGGTACTGATGAGACTCCCAAGATAAGTGAAGTGATCAACACGCTCGACTACTTCACTCCCTATCACTAGTTCAGGTGCCGATGCAACCAAGTCTTGAAGCAACATTTTGCATTCCGAGGGGGAAAACCGCATCCCGAACATGCTTGCATTGTTGCTTAGGGTAGTCAGAAGACTCTGCATTTTGTCAGCGTCTTCACCAAGTAGGACAATGTCATCAGCATATTCTAAGTCAATAAGCGAGCCACTTGGTAAAAGGTCTACTCCAGAAAATTCAGACGAGGATAAGGTTATTTCTAGGAGCATGTCTATGATAAAATTAAACAAGAATGGAGAAAGTGGACATCCCTGACGGACACCACTTGAAGTAAAGAATTCCGGTGACAGTTCGCCATAAGCTCTCACTCGACCAGTGGTGTTTGAGTACAGAGCTTGTATGAGGTTAATGTACTTATTTGGTACACCTTTCAATGACAGACACTGCCACACAACCTCATGATCCACTGAGTCGAATGCCGCCTTAAGGTCCAGGAAAACAACTATTGTAGGACGTCTAAATGTGTGTCTGTGTCCCAGGACCTGTCGTAGTGTGAAAATGTGGTCTATACAGCCACGTCCAGGTCGAAAACCAGATTGGTTTTCTCGAGTTGTTTGCAATTACCTGTCACATCATAACCTTACCTGCTCTCAAGCTGATGTTATTCCTCAATAGATTCACTAGTGAGAAATGTGTAAGCCATATAAAAACGTATCGTTTATGAATGTTTACATATTTTCCTACAGTTGTAAATGTAGGCAGACATATATACGTTCAGTGAGAAGTGATGGGCTTCAACAAATAAACATAATATTAGGCAGAATAAAATACTGCCTTCAGTTATGCATCGTTTTTCTATGATAAAAATGAATGTGGTCAGCATTGAAATTGTGAAAGAACATATATACGTTCAGTGAGAAGTGATGGGCTTCAACAAATAAACATAATATTAGGCAGAATAAAATACTGCCTTCAGTTATGCATCGTTTTTCTATGATAAAAATGAATGTGGTCAGCATTAAAATTGTGAAAGAACGAACTTCAGTATTATAGTTAGTGAACAAGACAAGCGGTAAGGTTGGTGGTTACTAATAATGTAATTTGTGATCATGTAATTTCTTTCAATCTTTGTTTACTACCATGACTACTTGAAAATCATCGGTATTAGGGTTGTCTTGTTTTCATACGGTAGAATGGTTTGGAGATGTGTGAAATGTTTTTTGTAACAATATAACAGACTTTATGAGAAATTTCTGTACCATGCTGGTGAAATTAGTAGCATATTGACTGGATCATCACAAAAAAATAGTAGAAACCAAATAAGACAAAAGTATCTTGTTAAAATACTGATTTATAAAAAAAAAGAATGTAGAGACTATAATCACCACTTTTCGGTCGCCGAAAACTTTGCGAAATAAAAAACTCTTCACATTATCTAGCATTAAAAGATGTTTTAAAAAAATAATTAAAGTCCAATCAATAAACAAGGAGGACATTGTCAAGAAGTTCGATGACATTGAATAAGATAAAAGTGGCCTTATACAGTCAAATGATATAATGACAATTAAAAATAAGGGCAACAACTACGAAATAAAACAGACGAGTCAAAAAACAAGCTTTGTCGTTTTTGAAGACCTATTTAATTGTCAGCTCAAAATAACAGAAGTAATGTTTAAATCGAAAGAAAAAAGATTGACAGTTCATTATAGCACGATGAATTGTTCGCAAACTGCAAAACAACTTTACAGAATAGCTCAAGTCAATAACACAATACCTCACATTTGTTTTGCAAACCAGAAGAGTTTGCTGATTAAGTCGTACAAGATTATTTGCTTTGTTAGTTTTCATAGAATCTCCATAGTTATATTTAACAGGCATCTTTTTCCCTTAAAAAGTCCTTCTATGCAGATAAATATCAAAATTTCTATCCAAAACTAAGTAATAAGAGTTAAACTTACCCGGCCTTAAGATAATTATTGATATAAGTATAGACTATATTGGGTGTTTCCTCAATTTTCAACAGATTAGGGACATTTTCAGTTGAGTCAGCAACACATGTGAAAGCATTTGGGTTCGATATTTGGTCGCCACTCTGTGTATCCGAGAATCCAGAAGTATTTACCTAATTTAGGAAAGAAATACGTTTCGAATATTTCACATTCAAAGCGAATCCATAATTTAAGTTTTAACTAAAAGCATTAGTCAAAATTCCTATGAACACTTATGACGAGTTTTATAACATCTGATAATCGTCAGTTGAACCATTAAGTTAAATACAATACATATTTTCAGTCAATTCATTCAAAGTCCGTTAAAACTATAACCGGAATAAACTAACTTGCTTTTCACAGAGATTTTAGGAGGCTACTTGTTCGACAAGTTTGTTTAACGATGAGGTCATCTTCAGATTAAGGACTAAAGACTAATAAAACTATGACGATGAATTAACACTCATTGTTCATCGCAAAATTTGACTATAAAACTTTTTTAATCGGCTTATTTGTACAATTTTCTGTACAATAATTTCTTATATTTTATTTTAAATGAACACGACGCTCTGCAATACTGATAAGCCGTATTTTCTCACTTTTAAATGATGATAAAAGTTTCGTATAAAATAAGGGCATAAATCGTACATGGTTTTGAATAATTTATTGTGAAAAGAACAATTTGTAATACATTTTGAAAATAGTGACAGACAAAAGGTCATATGATCAATTCAAGTTCGGTATAAACAAGTGACAGCATAAACATACTAAATGGTTATGATTATTACTGTGTTTGTTTACAATGACCAAAAATAAAATACCTCAATCTTTCCAGATTTATATATGCAAGACATGGAGTGAAAATGATCATTTTTAGATAAACAAACTAGATATCTGGTAAATTACGTAATTTGGTTACCTTAATCGTCACTTGTGGAAAATAGAAGTTAAGGTCTACTTGAGTATTAGGATTTAATGTGATCTTACTTTAAGGCTGGTTGGATTTATTCTAACACATATTCACAACTTAATCAACTAAAATCGAGAAGATAGTTAAATTTTTGAGTATACGAAAGACTCTAGCAGATTTGTAAGTAATAACAACCAGATTTCCCTCCCATGAGATAATAGTCAACATAATGTAGGACAGTTTTAAAACACAGTTCATCATTGGTGAGTAAAAAGCTCAAAACTAATACTTTTAAACAGGAATTTGAAATTTAAATCAGTGAAAAGTATTCACAATAACAACAATTTACCCAATAAATTACTATTTACGTATATAATTAACTTTGATCTTATCTTCTGAAGTATCTTCATTGGACAAGTAAAAATTTGTATTTATGACATTCACAGTTTAGTGCTTGACTTACCGAAGTTTTCCGACACCCTTGTCTTTTCACAGATACTGGTTTTGTAATTTGCATAGAATTTGAAGCAGACATTTTCATGAATTCTACCTGATTAATTAATTTCTTTAAATTAAGCTCAATTTCTGTTTGCTTATTCGATTCAAATGTCAATTTTTCTTCAATTTTGTCTATTCTATTGTGTACATAATATATGAATTAAATATTCATTTATATGTAAGAAACAGCATTTAACCTAACTTACCCTGGCAACAAAAATCAATTACACTTAATAAAAGACTTTTTAGGTTGCATACTTTTGGCTCTTTTATTGTTAGATAAACTAGTTAAACTTTCCTCATTACCCGAGAAGATGTATCCGACTGCCGTACTTTATAGGCAACAACAGCCATTTACTCGTTCGAGTTTTTCAATTTGAGGAATCTTCAAAATACGTACGGTTTTTTTACAACCGCAGACGATAATTTACGGTTAATGTCAATAATTATTCAGTTCAAGCACTTCTGAGACAAGATTAAATGGAAATATTTGCTGTGGAAAGGTTTAGATAAAAGTCAGTTAATTCAATATATTTCACACTAACTGTCTTTATCCACATACTACTCACATAAGAGTAAATTTCCGACTGACACCAAGTAGATCCAATGTTATAAAATACCAGTCGATCTACTCCATCAAATGAAAAGAAAAATTACAAAACCTGAACAATATGAGAAAGAGTATAATCGCAAGAAATGATGAGCCTATTTCATTGTTTTCTCCCAGCTATATACAACCTAATGCATTTAACAGATGGTAACCACTGGAACGAGCAGTTGGACGCTATATATGTTAGTTTTATAGATATTATGGCACAATAATATGTTCAGGTAACAGTGACAAAGAGTTGAAGTCCCGAATACGATTACTCAACTGTACCAGCTTAAACTGAGAATAATGAAAGGGAAATTAAACATCAATTCAAGGCCGACAACAGAACCATCAAACTAATTGATAAATCATTTCAGATTAATTTTCTAGTAATTCTGATAAATTTTCTTGATAGCACGCAACTAAGTATAGCTTATAAAGTTGATTAGGGATTCGACTGTCGATTGAACGCAATGCAAACACATCTATTCGATGGTTCCTAAATAGATTCTACAGCTAATTACAATCTGGCTCCGTATTAAAATCTTTATGATTTGACAATATCGATGATCTAATAGCAGGATGCACATGTGACAAAAGATGCTGATCAATTTTAGACCTTAATCGGAAGAAAAGATAAAAGCCTATGTAAATAAATTACTACACAAATGATGTTGAAGAAAGTTCTTAGTACTTCTAACGACTTTATTTAAATGTTCAACTTTTTATTCAGTCAAAAATACGATTTCAGAAAATTTACACAGAAACACATTTGACTTACACATTTTAATGTTACTACTTACTTAAAGTCTTAGTTATTTCTTAACACTGTTACTATGGTGATCGCTTCAACTATCACCTGAATACTAGTAAACAAAATAGTTAAGTGATTGTGATGGTAAAATAGCTATTGTTAAAGACAACAGTAGTTTAACTAGTCGAAATAGAAACCAAACAATAATTGCAATAACATATCCATTGTTTTGCACAAATTCTCAAATATCACGAAAATTTAAGTGGTTCTCATGATTAAAGTATAAATCGTGTCACGAAACCATTTCTCACACAAAGAATTCTTATTTTAAAAACGGTTTAACAATTGATATCTGGGCTTCTTGCCAGCGATAGTAAATATCGTGAGCTAATACAGTGATAAGTATATGTTCTACTATAATGTAGGACAGTTGACGTACTGAGAAAGCGTCATACATTTAGAAGTCAGAAGATAATACTTAATGTTGTGTTATCCAGGGCGCTGGGATTAAAGATCTAAAGTCATGATGAAACTACTGATTTGAGCCTTTCCACGTCGTAGTGCATTATATTTTATTCGCGTAAAGGATGGTAGTAAGTTAAATTTCGAAATATTATGTATTTCATATTGTCCTGTTGGACGTTTTGGTGCAACATCTTGCTGGCTTTTCACCGTATACTATTTTGGCAGCTGAAACAATGAAACCTTTGCCATGTGATTTTACAGTAACAATTTAATTATACATACACATATGCAGTATATGTAATGCAGATTAAAAAAACTGTTATATGCAGTGATTCTATAAAATCATAATTTGTTGAATCAAATACTCTTTTTTATTTGAAAGTATAATAACAAACATATCTTATGAAGAAAAATTAGTAAACTAACGAGCTGAATACACTGCTTTGAAATAAATAGACGAATAAATGCAATATCAAGTGAACTCAAATTTTGGGAAGCACATGAAATATTGGAAAGCCTGGAGTGATATCCTAAGTATAAAGAGAATTAAACGGATTGAGTAATTAGGCTTTTTGTCCGAAGAACAGCATGCACTTTTACATTGTTCTAAACAATGGAATGAACAAATATGTTTTCATGTGAGTTGGAATAAACAAAATTCAAGCAAACCTGGTCATCTAACTCGTCTTACTAACGATGCTATTATTCGACGATTGAATACAAAATACAACACAAGTTCTGTTTCCTATAGGAATTAAAGACTACAAAATGAGCCTTGTACTATTATCAGGTTCAATGTTAGAAATAGCATGTAGCAATTTGTCTATTTGATTTCTTATCATTGCGTCAGATTTGACGATTAATAAGAGCTCATTGAAATAACCAAAATATTGCAGGTAATGTTAGAAAGTATATAGCACTGTGGCCACAAACAGTTACAACGTAGAGCTTCGTATGTACGTAAATCAGTCCCAGTTCCCATGCCACATTAACACTGAGAAAAAATTTCAGTTCAAATCCCATAGTGGTACAGATAGTAGAAGTATTAGCCGTTATGGAGATTAGGGTTTGAAGACATTATACAAGAATTATGATTCAGTGAGAGAAATTTAGGTTAAGAAGGATACAGATTAGAATTTCAGAGAACACAAAGAGTGGGTGCACCTGCGCCATTGCAAACGATTTTGAACCATGTCGTTCAACGTCTCTAAACATCCGTTATTATCGTCTCGAGGACCCCAATCAGTTGATCAACCTTTAACAACAAGACTCAATCAACTTGTCAGTGACTTCATGGATTTTTGCCACGCTTTAGTTTGGCCGCCTCTAGCTTTCATCCAACCTACTCCTACATCACAAAACATAGCTCGAAGAGGTAGTCGGTGGTCAAGCATTCGTAACACATGTCAGAACCACCTGAACTGATGCGCAGTACACTCGTCCTTTGGTTAGCAAATGGATATCTCGTCTACGCCATAAGTGACGGAAGATGATGTCTGATCGTGTCTACGTTCTAAGACCTGACGTAGTGTGAATATATGATCTATACATCCACGTCCGAAGCTACTGGGTCAAATCACTGTGACCTAGTACCTTTGTATTATAAATCAGTTTTTGTACCACATTATTCATTGAGTGAATGTTACTAATTATCCTAAATGCATTCGCGTTGCTATCTGAAATCAAATGATTGAAGATACTCTTTGTGCAGAATTTTATGAAGCAGTGAAAGCATTTGTTATCATAACAAGACTACTTATTAACTACGATTCGGACTTAATTCGCCAATAAATCGTAATAGTAAATCATGAGGATAACGTCATGAACTGCGAAGTAAAATCAATGTTTGAATTATATTTCTTAAATTTCACGACCATTTGATTTTTTGCATGTAGTTTAAAATCGGAAAACAGTTATTATTGTAACAGGTCTTTGATAAAATCGTGGAACGTTCTCTTTAGAAGGACGGTATTGTCGAACTGTGTATGATTTAATAGTGCGGTTGATTTTATCAGTAATGCTACTAAATACACATAAAACTAAGGCGACATGCCCGATAAATTCAATTTCCTTTTGAATTTCAAAGCCTTTCAAGAATTGTGATTTGCAGTTTGGATTGTTCGGGTTATTAGATACATGAAACAGATAACCTAGATCTGCTGACACAGAAACCAGCTTAGTTAGTCCATAGAAAGAAATGAAATTTACGTCCGAAATTCTGGTTATTCACCACGGAACTGGTATTCTTCGTCATGTTCATTCTGGTTTTCTACTCATCAACAAACTTTTTTAGCTATTCCGGCGACAAGTCTTGTGGGCGAAAGTAAGAATATAAAGTTCAGTGACTATTGATTGCTATTATCAATAAACAGAAACATGTAGCTGTGTTACCAACGGTGATGTCCAAGTCATAAGAAGATAACAGCTACTTAAATTGCTTAGAGAAGAGAAACTGTTTAAGTGCGGTGTATATCTTATTTTGCGGTATATCTTATTTTTGATATCCACTATCCCTGCAACAACTATCAAATCAACTACAAGTAAATCAGTGGTTAGGATGATCACGGACAAAGAAGTTCTGTTTGAACACCGATCACCTGTCATTTGATACAATATATCTCAACAAATCAACCATTTTGTTACAAGATTATCAACCAACGAATTAGGTTTTCTATCCTGCACACGTAACTCATCAACAGACAGATGGTCATTTTAGATTATTCAATTTCAGTTCTACACTGATTCTCATTTTAACACAAGCAAAAAATTGTCAGTCTTTGATATCTATGAGAAAAAGTATGCAGACAAAAACCCGCAATTCGGAACCGACATCCAGATATCGGAGATTTTGTTGTTCTGAAATTAGACAATTCATATCAACACACTTGAACAGTAGCAAATAATAAAGGCTTAAACTAAAACTCATTGAATTTATCAATATTACATATCCAGAAGAGGCAGATAGTGGTTAGCAGTGAAATCCAGGAAGCACCTTTCGTCCCATTTTAAACCCGTCAACTGAATGTACCTGCTTCTCAGATTTATTCATTTTGGGGCTAGAACCTCGAACAGTTCCATTAAAGTAATAAACATCAGTGAGGAAATTCAGATAACTAATGCAAATAAATAAATCTACACCCCGTTGTACTCGCGAGATGCTATCTGGATTCACTAGCTACATGGGTAACGCAATGCTGTGTAAAGCGGAAGATACTGGGTTCGAGTCCCGGAGAGAACATCAAATCTGAGGTGCAGGTACATCCAGCTGAAAAGTTTTATCACCAACGACTATCCAACTCTGCTAATTAGGCTCGTAACCTGAACAAAATATCGAGGCAATCAGCACAGGATGTCAAAGAGAATGATTAATTGTAGTATGATGACAAAATTCAAAGACAAACAACCAGTACAAATGAATTTATAGTTCGTATGGTATCCAATGTGAAGATCGATGACAGACAGACAGACAGATACAACGCAGAACTGCGTACGTAAATACATCAGTTTAGGTTGACATGTCCAATCTGCACAGAGGCGCAACTGTCAGTTCAAATCCAAGAGTGATAGCAATAATAGAAGTATTAGCAGTAATGGAGAAGATTAGGGAGCGAAGATATGATTCGCGAAGTATTATTCAGTAAGATAAATTTAGAAGTTGAAGGTAGAGATTATGAGGAATGCAGAAGCTTAGAATTTCATAAAACACAAAGAGTGGATGCACCTGCACCACTGCAAACGATTCTCAGCCATGTCGTTCAAGGTCTCTAACCATCGGTGACTATCGTCTCGCGGACCTCAACCACCTAGCCTACATCTACCAACATGACTCAGTTCACTTGTCAGTGACTTCATGGATTTCTGACATGTTTTGGTTTGGCCGCACCTAGCTTTCTTCAAACCTATTCCTACACCACAAAACATAGCTCGTCAAGGCAGTCAGTGGATAGGCATTCGTAACACATGTTTCAAACACGCCAACTGATGAAGTTTCACTACTTCATCTATTGATCTGCTCTCCTTACTTAGTACTCGTTTCCTAACGATAGCATTGCTTACTCGGTCGTCCCAGGATACACGAGCAATGCTTCGGATACACTTGTGATCGAAAACTAGTAACCTACGAATGTCCTCTACTCTTAACGGCCAAGTCTCGCATCCGTACAGTAGGACGGAGCAAACTGCTGCACAGTACACTCGTCCTTTAGTCAGCAAACGGATATCTCGCACACGCCATAAGTGACGCAGGTTGGCAAAAGCTAATCGAGCCTTCCGTATCCGAGCTCAGATTTCGTCAGTCACCAGACCATCAGCACTGATGAGACTCCCAAGATAAGTGAAGCGGTCTACACGTTCGACTACTTCACTCCATATCACTAGTTCAGGTCCCGATGAAACCCAATCTTGAAGCAACATTTTGCATTTCGAGGGTGAGAACCGCATCCCGAACATGCTTGCATTGTTGCTTAGGGTGGTCAGAAGACTCTGCATGTTGTCACCCACTTCACCAAGTAGCACTAAGTCATCGGCATATTCCAAGTCAATAAGCGAGCCTCCTGGTAAAAGGTCTACTCCTCAAAATTCAGACGAGCATAAGGTTATTTCTAGGAGCATGTCTATGATAAAATTAAACAAGGATGGAGAAAGTGGACAGACCTGACGGACACCACTTGGAGTAGAGAATTCCGATGACAGTTAGTCATAAGTTTAATGTACTTCTCTGGTATACCTTTCAATGACAGACAAAGCCACACAACCTCATGATCCACTGAGTCGAATGCCGCCTTAAGGTCCAGGAAAACAACTATTGTAGGACGTCTAAATGTGTGTCTGTGTCCCAGGACCTGTCGTAGTGTGAAAATGTGGTCTATACAACCACGTCCAGGTCTGAAACCAGACTGGTTTTCTTGAGTTTGCTCTTCACGAGCTTTCGTTAAGCGTCTAAGGATTATCGACGCTAAAAATTTAGCTACTATATTAGTTAGACTTATTTCCCTGTGACTGTCACAAAAAGACTTTTGTCCTTTCTTATAAATTGGGACAGTCAACGATTAAGACCAGTCGGATGGGATTATGTCCAGTTCCCAGATTCTACCTAAGATCTCAGTCAACCTAGCTGCAAAAAATGGACCACCATCCCTAAATATCTCAGGGGTCAGTCTATCAGGACCTGCAGCTCACCCTTGCTTCATATTTCCTAACGCTTTCTCAACTTCGCGAAGCCTATGGGGACTTACGTCGATTTGCCATTCAGCATGACGGGAGATCGTGGGTAACCGAAGAGTGGCTCGAGGTCAGTTGAACTAATCCTCAGTGTTCTGACCATCGGTTCAGTCTCCTGGATTGAGAATGAATAATAAGACCATACTTTTCCGAGATAGTCTCACTTACATTAGGATTCCTAATACCAGTTTCCTTGATAAGTCGGAAAAGTTGTCTTCTGTTGCCGATCGCCGCTGCCTTTTCCATCGCTTTCGCCACCCACCACTGTTCACGGTCGTTGCGCAGGCTTTTAATCAGTTTGTGACTAATCTGACTTCCTTCTTCATCATGTTCAGAGCCAGGTGGGATGAGTTTTCGAGCGTCCATCAGTTCGGTGGATGCTACAGAGATTCATGACTTCATCCTAGGATTATGGTTTACCTTACTAGCAGATATCACTGCTGTTTCCACAGCCTTCTTGATATCTTTCCAACCTGCCTCCGGATGGGAATCATTTGAATAGTTGCCTAACTGTTTTTTTAGTTCCTCCTGAAATATTTTCTTAGCTTGATTATCATTAATGAAAGCCCTAAGAGGCAGCAGCGAGTGTCCCTATCTTTACGAGTCCTTACTGTCCCGTTTAGTCGGACGGCGCAGTGAAGATCGATCTTTACGTGACAAGATTCTGTCAATAACATATCGAATACCTAAACTTTGATCACGGCATATTTCAAATCTGGGTCTAAAGAAGAAATATATACTTTGTTCTAAAGCCAAAACTGTTCTCAAATATATGGTCCATTTGTGATCGTACAACGTTGAAAATGAATCCACCTGCCAGCATAGACGGACTAGACAACAGCTAAAGATGGTGGTGTGTCCGTTGACGTGAATTTGATAGATTTTAGCAAACCATTTAATAAGATTTTTCACTTACGGCTCATACACAAGTTCTCAGACTATGGAATAATGGTTTTACAGGAGCGGACAAAAATATTATTATGTGGTCAAAGACGGTGATGGTAAATAAGACAGCATTTGAATGGAATGTGATGTACAACCAGGAGCCATTTTAAGTCTGCTATTTCTATTTGCAAACGTTAGTGAGTTCCCGAGACTGCTTAAATCGTTGACACTGTTATCTGCGGATGATATGAAAATTTGGAGCGCAATAAATAGTGAGGCTGACGGATTAGTTAGACGGTCTTAAAGTAGGGGTTTGGAAAACAATGCTAGAGTGAGCTAAGAAATACCATACACGGAAATAGCTATCACTATACTAACAACGGTACATAGCTTTCATGCATGCAGGAACAAAAATATTTAGCATTAAGAGTGTCAAAACTTGAAAACCACGCCACATTGTATCCCAGCAGCCACCAAATATTTTTTAGTGTTATAGTTACTTCGTCGAGCAAACAAATGTTCCGGGTTTCATAAACCACCTACGTGTGACTTCATCTAGAGTATTGCACTTAAGCAGCTAGTTCATGCCTGAATGAAGATGCTACCACACTAGAGCGTGTGGCAACTAAGTCAGTAGTGTTTACGAAATTCACAACAGTGAGTGCTTAAAACGACTGGACCGCTTCTTCTTATCGTAGAAAGCAAGTTGACAGTCCGCATATTGAGTAGTGATTTGGGTGCCAACAAATCATACATTTCTGCTCTCTGCGAAAATAATCATTTTCGAAGCAAGAACTTTCGAAAACTGCGATTGAATGAACTGAAAATAGGGTTCCTTTCTTCTCATCGAGTGATCAATAACTAGTCTCTTAACCGGACAAGCCGTACTTTTACCACTAACGAACACTTTCAAAGAAAGCTGAGTCTTTAATAAGAAGGTTGCATGGATTAACACAGGTACGTCTAAACACTGCTATTATTTTCAAAAAAGAACTTTAAGTAGAACCGATTTTTGTGATTTCGCCGTAAGATGCGGTCAAATAGAGACATTTGTCTATCAACGGGAAGTATACATTTTAATTGCTTGAGTGTCCAAATTGTTCAATTTAAGAATACCCTAGGTTACACGGTGTAGAAATTACAAATGACTGCAACCTAGCGCAGAGAATTTAGCATCATCGGAAGTCACTTCCTCAGTAACAAGTGCACTCACCATTTTGATAGCAGTTGTAAAATGATTTCTGCCATGGTAGGCAGGTCGATTGGAGAACGGTAAAATTAAAAGCAACAACATAAGGTCTGAGGGCAAAGTCGTACTACTGACTGCATAGGTGTGTGACAGCAGTAAGCTGTTTACCTCGGAAAATCAACATCTGTTGTGATGCTGCCTCTTCATAATGGAAGAAGTGAGAAAAAGACAACCCCACAGATTTCCGGATCCAGCACTAAAACTTTTTGAAAAGTGGAGTCAACTTCTCTTAAAAAGGCAGTGGGCGACCAGTCTCCAGTAGATGTCCCTTGGGACCTGTGACTACGCTCACATGACGCTAAGACCAACGCTAGCCTAACTTCTTCTCCAGGATCCTCAAGAAATACCCTTATACGGTGTGGGCAACCTGGAAGCACATGAAATTAACTTGCCCATAAACTTTATTTACAATCGAATTTTAACGCACACAATCACGGTTTGACAGATCTAGAATAATACTATTACTGTGACATAATTTTAGCTCTATATCATGTTGTTTCATATACATTCTCCTATTACGAAACATCTACATATTGCAAAAACATGAAGTAACAAATAAAACTTAAACTAATAACAGAGACTACAAAAGTAGCACTAACTTTCTTTCTATTTCTTCAAATCGACATTCAGATTTCTCATCAAATTTGTAACAAGCTCGTTCGTTTTGTCTTTTATTTGAAGACTGATTCATAGCCACCACCGGTTTCGTTTGAAATTTATATGAATAATCGTGATGCATACAAGACCGTGATAAAACCACTCGCTTAGACTAACTTTTCACAGCTGTTCAGAGAAAACATATTGCACATCCTACCAATAGGGACGCTCGTTAGTGTAACCAATCAGAGACTCCGGGATAAACAAGCTGATTTGACACGCATGTTTGTTATCACGAAGTTAGAAAAGTAAAGCAACAAAGTCTTTATTTTCCCAAAGGATCAATTTTGATTGTTATTTGGATAAACAGTGTAAGTTACAATTTTCTGCAGGATCTAGTTCCAGTTAGGTTTGAAGGTTAGACCATTATGACCGAAGTTACTAAACATACACCCTAAAAGACTAATAGACAATACTATTGATGACATTTTTGGCTGCATGGTAAGCAGTTGGCTTTGAGTAAAACCACTGCTCAAATTATCATAATGATCAGTAAATACTGACTTTGAACCCATGATGAACTATTTGAACTGTAATTTATTTTAACTACTCAGTAATGCAGGTGGAGTCATTACCGAAAATGAGATTATTGTGACAATAATTCAGCTGGGATAGTGCAATTTTGTAGGAATTTGTGTTTTATTTATTTATATTTCTTTTAAGTACCTAGTCTAAACAACCTGCTGACACCTGAACTATTGGTACTTGGGTCGATGATTGAGTTCAAACATTGGTCTTTATAATGAGGACGAATAGGAATGGAAGACAATCCACGACGTTGGTAAATGATGGGTTTTTTTAATATTTTAGCATGGACTATCAGTCGGAACGCTTTAGGAATAACATAATCCCAAGTCAATCGATGATTATGATGTCGTCGTTAGTACCACAAAAAACCGACTTCCAAGACTCAAATGGTTGCTTCGAAATACCCATACATTTTTCAAAGTAAACAACTTACAGAAATCCGATTTTTGCACATTAAATTTCAGTCACCGATTGCTGACTGGAGATTCCAATATACCGAGGGGAATTTTAGGGAGGAGAAACCTGTATTCACAATAATAAAAGACGTAAGCCAACAGTGTAAGGTTGTCAATAATTTGAGGTACGCTAGTTCGTAAACCAACAGTGGTTCAAGCTTAAGATACATAGGTCCTAGGTAACAATAACTAGGGAAAAAACCAACCCTTAATCTGTGGTTAATTTGCCAGTAAAATTTATTATTGACACAACTAGACTTTACAGTGTCCATACCAAAACTAGTAATATTGGAAAGCGCTAGAAACGACAATAAACAGTACCAACCAAGTAACATGACTATATTAACTCGAAAGCACTAAGAGTTAAAATTAACCAACTACAAACCGAACTCTAATCGGTTTCGCCTATCTTGGTGGACATACTTTTCTTTGGATTTGCAGTTGCAGGATTTTGAAGTAATTTTGAACACGATTTTACATAATAAAACGAACTGACTCATAATCCGTAACGCGTAGGACATAACTAGTGTTGATTATAATAATGTAAAGTTATTAATATAATAAGTGGCTAACAATTCTGTCTTTAATATACCAACAATCTATTTTTAGAAATTCTGATAATCTGGACATGAAATTAGTTTATAGCAACTTCTGTACTAAAATTGAAAGTCACCACCTTGTCCTGAGGCACCATCGGGAGCAATAAACCGGAATTCTTGTTCTGAGTTAGAAGGAAAGGCTTCATTATTATCAGTGCCATCACCGACAACGACTTTGCTTTCGTTCTCATCATCCTGAAAAGTAGAGTAAATCTGTTTACATTATTGTTGATAATAATTCTAAACTCCAAAATAAAATAAGCACTGAAGATGAAAATTATTTAAAATGCATACAGCTTTTCTGGCATACCAAGCTGATATCGTCTCATCAAATTACGGTAGGTGAGTTTGAACTAAGCTATAAACGAAGCAGATAGTAAACAAACACTTCTATATAACAATTATCAGACAGCTATCTCTTAATATTGTGATAGATATAAATCGAATTGTTTAAGATTGATGAACTTTGATGAAAGAAAGTGATTACGCTCTAAAGAAACGTTCAAAGTTCTAAGTGAATAAACACAGATAGGAGGTTCTGATTACGTGGTGATAATTTAGCTCCATGCATACTAGTTTTAGTTTAAATTTTTAACTGTGATGGAAGATTAATTGCTTTAAAGGCTTACTGTTTACTCTACTTCGACCACAGAGTCCTTTTATTTGTATGCGAACTCAGAATTAACAGATTACAGATTTCTAAAGTACATATAATAACCATTCAGTAAGTAGTGCTAATTGGACACGAATAGCGACAAATGAGCTTATTGCTTCACCAAAAGACATCTGTAGAAACCTGTACCTTTGTTCTCGAATATAACTCAAGTTAAAATGGAACACATATAATGTTAATTACAAGAAAAGAATCTCCCGTATGAGATACGTGGTGATGTGAATGCTACAAAAACGTATTAAATACGTGAAACAGAAATTATTAACCTACCGCATCATTGAAATACTTTTCAATAAGATCATAAGCAACTTGATAAACCTGAACATTACTGTGATCTTGCAGTTCTTCCAACTTATCCAAACCTCCACAAGTCTCTAGCTCAATACAAGCAGGTTCCAACTGACCATACTGATCAGAAATCTGGAATTGAAAATGTAGGTTCTAAGTAGACTCATGTTAAACGATAAAAATCACAATAAAAAGCATAACTGATACATATTTAGAAAGACTCAGCATAATACAATAAACAATATTCAAGACTACGTTACGCAGATGTTACCAAAAATAATTAAGAAACATACCTCTAAGAGTTTCTTTATTCCTTCTAAAACCATAAGCACAACCTTCGACTCGGAAACCGTAAGTAAATTGCATAGGGCTTTCAAAACATTTTGGTTCAATAAATATGCACACTGCGCCGGCGTACCGCCGCTTATAAAATTACTGATGACCCAGCAAGCTTCTTTCTGAGTTCTGAATTCGCCCTACAAAAACAAACAGAAAAACGTGAAGACATGATTGTATGGAACGCTTTTCAGATAATGATGCATGTCGGAAGATTTGGTCGACCGTAAGCTAAGTACAACCTTGGGCATGTACCAGTCGTTATGCCATACCGAGATGAAACCACCAAGCAAATGTCATATTGACAGTGATGTAAAGCGAAAACTGTAGCTTAAAGAACGGTATGACAGGGAATTCGCAAAATAAAAAATAAGGTTGGTTTGAGTCCCTGCGACGAATCCTGAGAATATAACAAAGCTCACCGGAAACTTGGGTAAGAATTATAATTTACCGGGGTCAACGATACTAATCAGCTGTCTAATTTTTCGTGACCAAGAACGGGTGGAACGTCCTAAATACTGAGCTGATAACAAACGCTGATGATATTGATGAGAAATTTAAACAAATAACCCAGATCTACAAACCTGGTTCAGACAAACGACTAATGAATTTAATAATGGATAGGTTATCGTTCATCTGGATTTTCAAAAGCCTGATCAAACTGCACGTAAAAGTAGACGGTGACTGAACACATGCCAGCTAATGAAATATGAGTACCACACCAACGATTAACTTCTGTTTAAAACATATCTTGTTAGTTTAATCACATGGTAACAAGTTCCAGAATATGCCCATGATCACTATTCACAACACACAGCTATTGGTTTTCCAAGACTTGATAGTTTATTGAGATCCAAGTTCTCGTTGTTTAGTAAGTTAGTAAGGAACGAATCTTGTGTTAACATAAGTTCTGATAAGTGTATGGATAAGCGGTCCAGATAACGCATTCGATTGCAGCTTTGTTTACAAGCTGTGGCATTGATGACCAGAAAATGAATGTTTCGCACTAACAGTGAGGATTCGTCTCAACCATTCGGCACTTCAGATTTAAAAAACCACAAGAATAAATTTTGTCAACCTCCATTAAAACGCAATAATTTAGTTAACCTACATCATAATTAAAGTTAAGAGAAGCGAATTAAGATTTCTGTGACGGTGCAAATATCAAAGACGATACAAGTCTTTCATCTAAATTCTCACTTAAATGTAATTTAGATCATAAACGATACTTCCAGTAAGAAATGGGCAACATATAAAGCTGTTAGGGAAAATTTGGTTTGGAAATCAATATTTCAATTGAATTAATAAATGTTACTGAAAGTCATGTCTTACCTTATAAAGGATCTCCAAGATGCAAGGTACGATGCTGTTACTTATAACCATGTCAATTTGATCTACACTACCAGCGGTTATGTTACTCACCACCCAACAAGCCTCTTTGACCACGGTAGACTTTTCATTGTTTAATAATGCAGGGATATACGTTAGCAAGCCAGCATCCAAAATAGCTTGCGTTTGTTCATCGGTACCGATGACCAGATTCCCAATAGCTCTGAGAGCTGGAGAAATGAGATTTGCCTATTCCGAAATAAAATAAGTATTTTGGACTCACTGATGATGATGCTAACAAACGTAAGAGGAGCGGAACACATCCACTTTCTATTATATCATCAATAAACTCATTTACTGCATCACTAGCGTATGAAAGAGCCCATGCAGTATCTACTACAACATTTTTATTACCTTCATACTGCAGAAGCCGATTGAGAACGGGTAGGAGTTTTTTAATTACAGCACGTGGTGGAGGTGGATCTCGGTTTCGACAGAGATTTGATAACATCCACGCAATATTTGATACCACAGAAGGTTGCTTCCAAACTCGATCTAGAAGTCTAGGGAAAGTAATTAATCACAATTGCAATTACCGTAAGACTGGTTCTATGACTCCACTCTCAATGACAACATCTCGAAATTTAGATCCATCGCCGGCTATATTACTTAGAGCCCATACACTTTGCTCAGCTATGTTGATAGCAGAATGATTCAACAGCCGTATCAGCTTTGGGACCGTCCCGGATGAGACTACTGCTGCCGTATGTGAGCTATCACCCGAAGCAATGTTTGTTAGAGCCCACGCAGCCTCAAAAACAAGATCATCGCTAATACTCGAAAAAATATAATTTTAACTCACTGAGTGGAACTTAGTGACGAACCAAGAATATCGACAGCTCCTCTCTTATAAAATTCGTCAATTGGAGGATTCTTTGCACGCGACAAAGTTTTTCTGCAAAGCTGTACTGCCTTGAATCGAGTGCTTCGATCATTTGACTGCATGTCGTGGATGACTGCATCGTAATTAACGTGCTCGGGAGTATCAATTTGCTTTTCCTTCAAAGGTGAGGTTTCGTCAAGTTCAGTTAACAATATATTTCGCCGCTTCTGAAGCTGTTCATCCTTTTTAGCTTTGCGAAGTTCAACGGACTGATCAGTACGACGCCTCCGGAGTTCCTAAAATTAACATTAGAATATCTATAGGTTTACCTCAGCGTCCTTATCTTTATTTTTGTACAACCTAGATCTTTCCATCTCGTCAGTCAAAATCCCAGACTTGGCAGCCAACAAGCAATGGGAGAATGAATAAACAAATTCTGTTTACAGTTTGTCCAATGTCCATCATCTGATAACTTTTTCACGAACTATTAAAAACCGATTGGTACTTTTGCGCTCGCTTCTTGTTGTCTCAGTATGTCTGCAAGTATTTGTTAGTACCCAATTGATAGTAATCCAGACACTAGACTGCAAATTTGATAGTTATATGAATGACAATCAGGTTTTTGAAATTTCTCGGCTAGGGTTAGGGTCTTGTTTCCAGTTCAGTTTCTGAAGTTCACAGCCATCAGACGTAGATGCCCGACGTGACATTCGTAGTCTTTATCTAAACTACTACACACCAGCTTAAGCATTCAGTGAACCATCATACTGATCCGTTGTTGAATGTTTATTGGTGGTCTTCCCACCTCTCTTACTGACCAAGGTTTTTCATGTCTGATTCGAATTTGGGAGGATAGTCTCACCGAAGGTCTGTAAGATATTAAAGGGATTTATTCGACAACCCAAAGTGAATCTTAAGTTACCTTCCTTGAAGAGGTTTGCCTTTCGCTTTGTTCTTGCCTCTAAACAGACGGCATGGTATAACCTGAGTTCTACCCATTCCATGAATTGCACACCTTTTTTCCAATTGTTTTTTTCGTCAGAAATAGCCCTGTCTTCCAGAAAGCCACCCTATATTAAATGGACGACTCGTAAAAAGAGAGAATTTTTATGTTATATGCGATGTCTTTGAAGCTAAGGTGTTGCCATTTCCCTTCCTAACGCTCACCCACTGTTCTGTACTGCTAAAAGATAGCAACCTATTCCCACACACATTTATGCTCAAAGCTACATGGATTTCACCGGATCATACTTCAGAGAACCAAACCGATCAAATTGGTATAAATAAGAAAGTTTGGAAGAACCTCTGAGGACTTCAGAACCAAGCGAGGAGCTGACACATCGTCAGTTCTTCACTTGTGGGTAGTCTAGATGAAAATGAAGTTAAAGAGGCACCGGTAGGAAGATCATCAAAAAATTTCAGTACTGCCTTTCTTCAAGATACTGGCAAACTCAAAGAATTCGAGAAAACCTTTAGCAACGATTTCCAAACTTTTCACTATCCACTCAGTGAAGAGGGAACTAGAATGTAGAACGAAGAGAAACGTATCAAGGGGGCAATAACTTCAGTTTTTTGAGGCTTTGAGCCTAATGAAGCACCAACACAAAGTATGGATCTCTGTTAATTCTCTGATGGTTGATCAGATATACATTGCAGAACTCAGTAAACTGCATCACGAGGTAAGCCTTAACTTGGCACCCTAAAGGCCTCCTGAAAAAAGAAATGCCGAAGGACCCACTGAGCCTAGAACCACAGACATTTTAAAATAATGATTAGCACTTGGATATAACTGGAAAGGTAGACGCATGACAGAGTTGGTTGGAGAATCTTGTTAGGCAGCCTATGCTCTAATGAGGTTACATGCTTAAGTAAGTAAGTAGGAGGAAAAACCAGCTGCCAGTTAATAAGAAGATTAGGAAGAGATGACAGAGATGGACAGAACGAAACGAAGAGAAATTATGTTAGAGATGGAAGTGGGAAATATGTGTGTTAATTGTTATCGGATACAAATGGTCTCCAAATCTACTTTACTCACTTGATCATCCTGCCTGTTACTCCTACTCGAGACAAAAGTCTTCTGGACCGAGTGAGGAGACGAAGAAGTAAATGCTTGGCGGGGTTGAGGAATAAAACTTACGACGATAGACTCTAGTAATTTGGATTATTCACCCTAAATTACAGAAGAATCAGAGGTGACCTGATAATAGTATACAACATATTAAGCACGTCAAGCCATCCGAATATGAGCATCTTGCTGAAGCATCACCACCACGCCCCTCGAAGTATTCCTTGAAAAATCGCGCATCGAAGAGCAAACGCTCAGGTTCATGTACACATTTCCTGATTAAGAGTTGCTGCAATTTGGAATGATGCATGATGCGTGCCTCGAAATTCGCTATCACCTCAGATCACTAATTGAATCTATCGCACTTATTATCTCTGTTTCCTCCCACTTGCTTACACTTCGGTCCTTGAACACAATCTTCACCACCGATTAGTTAAATTATTTGTTGAATAACTTATTTATTGATTCATTTATTTATTAAGTTCCGAGATTTTCCTGTTAGCATTAGGCTATCCCCCTTTTAATTCTTCACATTGCCAGTAACTGATCTCGAGCCTAGTAATTTGCTAGGGGCCAGTATTCAGAAACCCTACTGCCGTGAAAACAAAGCTACTGATTAGAATCATGGGACAAAGAAATTCATATATAATTGTCGACTGACTAGAATTAGTGAGATTGAGTGGCTAGACTCTGAAGTTTATTCCATCATCAGGATTCCACGTGATAATGATAGTCTTCTCAGGGACGTTAAAACGTCAACTCAGGTTCCATAATGTCCTTCTGTCCATACTGTCAACTGCATTATCATAGTCAAGAAAACTGACTTACAATGATGAGTGCTATTCGCCTGATTGCTTATTAATGAACTATGTTGACACAGTTAGGTCGACACATGAGTGACCCCTACAAATCTAACTCGCTGGACTAAAAGTTGTCCATTTACTGAATCTTTTATTTTGGCTCAACGCAGCTTTGTTAAAACTTCTCCTGATAATGATGGTAGTGTGGTACCATAGTAGTTCTCATGCTTACCAAGATTGTTATAACACATAGACGCTTATGTTAGAAATGGACATGCAAAGTTGCCCTCAAACAGCTGACATCCCATACTGAATATGAACAGGTAATCTTTCGGTTCATTGGAAAAACTACAACATCTTAAGACAGAAATCAGGTATAAGAGAGACCTAATCATCTTATTATTAGTCATCCTCCTCAAACATTAGTGTTACACCCTTGATATTCTTGTAAATGACGAGAAAAGCCCGTCGTATATAATTAAAAAGTAAGACAATGTCAGGTGTACTACGTCGTGGTTTCAATAATCGTTCTCACTTGAAATCCAGTAGTAATTCTTTATTCATTAGAATAGAACAAAAACAGTAACGGACAACTCCTAATCGACACATCTGTAAGTAGGGATAGTACATCATGTGTATATAGAACGTACACAAGTAAAAGTGCTTGTCGTATCATTAAGTGCAAGCTGATCCGTAAAAATAGAATGCTCTCAATAACCATTCATTTCTCTAGTATCATACCAAGTACAAACATATCCATGATTCCCTTATGTATGTTTAAGTCGAAGGACTAAGAACACATAAATATAACAGTTAAGTTTGTGTCTCACAAGTTATCTCAAATCTTTCGTAGTAAGGAAGAAGACAGGATGGACCAGATGAAATAGGTGTACTTGCTGGCGATTTCTTAGTATCGAAGAAATATCGAAACGTCCCAAACAATGGACAACAGCACAGAGCAGTCAAAACAAGATGGCGACCGGAAAGAGGGGAAGCAACGTGACCGTACTCGAATGTCAGTGTATACACAAAAGGTACAATGATCAAAGAGTATGAACAAACAAATATTCGATAATACGTTCCCTGATGATAATAATGAATGTAGCCATTTAACCAGCCGTGTTTTTCTTGTCGAATGTGAAATCGCTACAGCCTCATTAATTTATTTCACTACCTTTCTATCTGTTTGATGAAGAATAATGATCTGAAGTTAAACTGAAATGAAAAGAAAGTATTGTGATAAGAATTTAAACTATGATTATAAGACCAAAAATAATAATTTTCAGATATTTTCAATAAATAAAAGACTCGAAATTATTGAGCTAGTGAAACAAAAGTTCCTATAGTTGCCATCGTTCAGACGAATCAAAAAATCACTCGAAGATCGGTGAAGATCATGGATTCAATAATTGGTAGTCATTTTTTCACACTGCTGAGGAGTATCGTGCTCAGTAAAAGTAAAGGTACTATCATTTTCAGTTTTTGGTGATTATTTTATTGCGAATCGAAATATAATACTACTTCGCGGGATGACAAATTTTAATCCCATTACTCTAATAATCAGATAAAAGACGATGCTAGCCGCATGATATCGAAGTAATATCGAGGCCAGAAGGCGTACAAACTGCTAACGTCCAGGCAAGAGACGCCCGAACAAGAGAATAGGAATAAAACGCTTGGTGCGCGAGAGAGCCTTTGTACAGATTAACAAAAGTTTACAATATAACAATTATTGTCAGAATTAAGTACAATAACAAATGTTTATATTTCAGAAATTGTGCTTTCTTCGTAAAAGTAAACCACTACAATCTCATAGAATCTGTGAGTGAAGAGTGACTATGATCACCACTACAGACCAATCACGCTCTGGCTCTCAATGCGGCGAATCTCATACTGCGTTTCAAGTGTCGCGAACCAGACTTCTGGATTGTGGGCGATGAAGGAAGTTGATCGGAAATTAAGAACCTTCACCTCGGAGTCTATTATATCATCAATATTCTTATCTGCTATGAGAGCAACCTGGGGAAGTGACGTGGTCTCGAGTAGGGTTGTGATCTTAGGCTGTATGTGAGCTGGTAACGCTTCGAGCCACAATTCATTGACCATATCACAGTCAGCTGTCGAAGGTCCTGCCAAAGACTGGAGGCGCATCACGTGGTGGCTTGGCTTGGCATCGTCTAGAGGGTGACTTACTAATAAGATCCTCAACCGTTCCTCTCGCGATGGGTGGAAGTATCTGAAAATCGACTCCTTGAGACGATCATTGACATTTGGTGTATCAGGGTTGAAGACAACCTAACTAACAGCTGCAATATGATTCGGGGATGAAGGAAATTTATAAGAAATTAAGAACCTTTACCTCGGAGTCTATTATATCGTCAATATTCTTATGGCTATCCTCCACTTCGAAAAGTTGTTGCAAGTATAATACATATTTTAAAAGGTATCGATATGATATGGGCAACAAAGGAATGAAAAAATGAGGATGGAGGAATAATAGACTGACCGTAATTGGCTTTCTTTGTGAAGAAACGTCAGCAGATGTTGTAGCGTATGTTCGAATTCGGGTTCTCCAAT